GGGAGATGAGTGGCGCACCCTAGAGGCGAAGGAACCAAGCAGGGTAATGGGTAGAGCTGCAAAGCAGGACCGAGCAGGGATACTCACAGTGCTCTAGGTGGAGCTGGGCCCAGCCCAGGGCTGCTTGGGTTCCAGCTCTGTGGCCACCCCACAGTGGGACTGCCTGCCAAGCTGTGCACTGGGCCTTCACCCCTCTCAAAAAGCCTCTGAGACTGTCCCCATCCTAGCTAAGCCCATGTCATTTGGCTGCTCACAAGGTGTGCCATGCTGAAAACAATCACAGAGTTAACATGGTCATGAATAGTGTTACTAACGATGCCTGGTTCGGCCCTTGTCTCTCCATCCCTGGGAGTTGAGTGGAGGTTTGGGAACAGACGCTCCAGAGCCAGGCAGACACCCAGGAAACAGTGGAACTCACCACTTTCTAGGGCAGTCCTTCTGACTCCCTGAGGTCTCCCGGGGAACGAACACCCCCCAGTCTAGGGAGAGAATGTGGCCTTAGCAAACCTGCTGCTCTCGCTGGCCGGTGGGGCTTAGTTCCTTGAGCCTTGTTATCCTGCATTTGGGACCGCTTCCAAAGGAGAAAATGTACCACTGGTAGGCATCTACCTGTCACCTTGGAAGCCCTGACACTTCAGCCTCTGAGGTGGAGTCCCCATAGGAAGTTGGAGCTCAGCCTCAAGACATTTCTGGTCTGTCCAAGGTCACCCTCAAAACTCAAAACTGAAATGTTGCTCATTGGAGGGTTTAAGAACTGGGACAGGCCCAGATGGAATGCAGGTGAGGCGAGCCAGGCCAGCCCCAGGTTTCCCTGATCACAAGATCACCTGTGGCACCTGTTAAAATGAGAATCCTGAGCCTTAGCCCTGCTGAACTTCTCAGAAAGGGATGGATGGATAGACAGATAGTCTGGGGTTTTGACGAGTGGCTCGGGTGTGTCTTGGGAAATGTTGAATTTATCCTGGACTTTGGTTTGCCTACAGCTACCAGCAAAATGGCACTTGAAATCCAAGCTCTATAGCTCATTAGCTGACTTAAAATCCAGACTATTTCCAGAATAAACATTACTAATTGCTATAGATTGTAACTTATGTACTTAGAGGATGTACAATTATACTTCATATGTGTAAGGCCACTTGTCCTTGATTGGTAAGTTAACTGTCTCGAGCATGCCAGGGCCTGGTGAAGTACTATCCAGAGGGAGCACCCTGCCACCCAGAAAGGATCACCAGGCTGGCAGTGAGTGTCCCCAGTAAGACTAAGAAACATGGCCTTTGGACAAGGTAGGGTGACATCAGTTATTGCTTATTAGCTCTCTCCCTTTTTGTAAATCCCTCATGTTTCCAGACACATCTGCCTTTTCCTTAACTTGGGGGCTGTGTCACCACCCTTTGCTTATATTATGGGCTGAATTGTGTCCTCCTAAATCCACATGTCAAAGCCCTAACCCTCCAATATACTTGGAGGTAGGGCCTTTAAGGAGGTAATTAAGGCTGAATGGAGCCATAGGATGAAGCCCAAATCCAATAACACTGGTGCCCTCTAAGAAGAGGAAGAGATACCGGGGAGGTTTGTTCATATAGGAAGAAAGGCCATGTGAGGACGGAGAAGGCTCCCATCTGCAGGCTGGTGCAAGGGGCCTCAGGAGAGGTCAAACCTGACGCCTTGATCTTGGATTTTCTGTCTCTAAACCTGCGAGAAACACAGTTCTGTTGTGGAAACCCCCTGCTCTGTGGTGCTTGGTGGTGGCAGCCCAGGTGACTGATGATGAAACAAGTGGGGAGCCCCGAGCGTGCCTGTGCATGTGACAAGTCACAGGTGCTGACTTTGTCTTGTCTGCAGACTGGGCCAGGAACTTAGTTCCAGGGTGTATGTGGTGGTTTTCGAGCATGAGCCATGCCTAGGTCTGTGCTGAGGGATGCAGGGCGCAGAGGGCCTGCTGATGTGGATGTGTTGGTCTGGGGTCTTGTCCTTCCTTCCCTCAGTGTCCACGTCATACCTCACAGGGGCTGATACATAGGAGGCACCCTGGACTATTTGTGGAATGAGTGGTCTTCTTGCAGATACGTGTGGACATTTAGAAATACAGTGGGAACCCGGCTAGACTGTACTTGCTTCTGAAAATCAAGGCCTACAGATGGCAGTGACTTTTCACGCTGAAGGACCCTTCTAGCCCTGTGGTGGATCCATGGTTCAAGCCTCTCTGAGAACCACACAAAAGACCGAGTTTCAATCAGGTGCACTTTTATCCCTGGGGGATACATGACACTATCTGGACACAATTTTGTTTATCACAGCTGGGTGAGAGGTGCCACTAGTGTCATGTAGGTTGAGGTTAAGGATGGAGCGAAGCATGCTGCAGTGAACAAGCCATCCTGAAATGTTCATCAGGCCAAAGTTAAATCCTACAGCAAGATTAAGTCTCCTGGTCCATGATAATGTGATTAGGAAGTATCAGTTCTAAATAGGAAAGCTATGTTAAGTAAACGGGGTGCTTTTTCTTCTGGGGAAACAGTGAGCAGATGGCTAAGCCGAGTGACTTTTGCATGATTTGGGGAAAGCTCCGGTACTGACATTTGAAGGCTGCTGAGGCACGTACGAGTAGCAGCTTGAGAGAGGTTGGCGCTGGTGGGCCTGGCTTGGAAATGACAAATAGGCTGAGGACCCTTCTGCCTCCTGTCAAAGCCCACTGGAAAACCACCTTGTCCCCTCAGCATCTCTGGTCCTCTGTTCTGTATACCAGGTGTCTAGGGGTAACCACGGGTGGGAAGATGAGGTTGCTGGTGGTGGAAGGACAGAGTGCTTAAGGGTACAAGGTTCCCTAGGAAAGACAGAGTTGATTTCAGAAAGTGGAAGCATTGACACCTGTTCTTCTGAGGTGAGAAGGCACAGGAGTGTTTAGATGATGATGATGGAGAAGTTATTTGATGGAAAGAGCTAAATAAGAGGCTCTGAGGATCATGTGCTCCATATTTAGGATATGCACTTCTAGTAGGGGAGGGGTGGCACCAGGTAGGAGGAGAGGGAGAGATCTGAAACCAGGACTGGCTCAAAGGTGTGCTTTTGGACGATGCTCCTCACCTAAGAGGCATCTCTTGAGCCCATAAGAAAAAAATGAGACCATTCAGGGAGGAAGCAAAGGTAAATAAGACCAGTTCCCGAGCTCCAGAGGCTTGACTTTTCCTTGGGATGTAATCTCCCGCTTCATGAACCAAGATCTTTGTGAAGCTCCAAGAGAAAGGTCTGCTGTGAGCAAAGTTGGGTAGCATTGCTCGAAACCCTCACCACCTGGAGGATTGTTGGACAAGCACGGATGGCTCAGAAGAAATCTGTAGTAAGAAACCAGTTCAAGTTGAATTGAGCACTTCCCAGACTTTTGTTTGTTGGGATCAGAGAGAGGGCCACCAGACTGAGCAAATAAAAATGCAGAGCATCCAGTTAAATTTGTTTCTCAGGTAATAAGTTAACTGGGGTGTGAGATATACTTACACTGAAAACATCATTTGCTTATCTGAAATCCAGATTGAACTGGGCATCTTTTACTTATCTGGCGGTTTTATCATGGGGGAGGAAAAGTCAAGCTACACAGCGCCTGTCAATGAAACACACTTTGTGGGCATTGTCCACTTGTGTTGCTGCCACATTTTTCTGTTCCTTGTTATGCATTCTCCTGGTACTTGGACCTGTAAACACCTTAACAACATTTGCCCTGTTTTACCAAATGACACCGTTTTCAGTTTTCTGGAAAGTCATTTTCTAGCATCCTTGGCTGCTCAGAAAAACTGGGAACCCAGGAATGCATGAAAAGTGCCACCTGGTGCAGGCAGAGCCCAGAGTAGCCAAGCCAAGACCAGGGCTGGCTGGATCTTCCAGAAGCAGTGGGGTGGTGAGATCATGAGTGCTGTTTGGCCAACATTCCAAGAATGTGCAGCATGTTGGAAATAAAGAGCAGCCTCCTTGGCTAGCATTGGCTGAGGAGGTGGGAAAGCTGGAGAGAAGCCAGATAGAGAGGAGTGAGCTTTGATAAGAGGGAAGAACAGCAAGGTTGAATGAAGAGGATCCAGGTTTCGTCCAGAAGAGCAGGCAGCAAGACACGGTCAGCCCTGTTGCAGGCCTGCAGGCCTCCGTGTAATGGTTTCTCCTGTTCCTCCCAGGGGCTTGCGGAGTCAGGAGCAAGCTTGCCGGTGGTAGTAGCTAATGTGCGTTGAAGGCTGGCTATGCTTTGCTTGCCTTACTTCTTTGATTGCCCGTTCTCTTCTACCTCACTGCAGTGTCACTTGGTTTTTCTGTAACACACCAGGGTGCCTCTGCCCTGAGGCCTTTGTGTTTGCTGTTTCTTCTACCTGGGATATTTCACCCTCAGAAATCCTACTGGTTCTTGTATTTGCCTCATTTCATTTCTTTTCTTTTCTTTTTTTAGTACCAGGGATTGAACTTGGGTCCTTGTGCTTTTGAGGAAGGTGGTGGCACCACTGAGCTAAATCTCCAGCCCATTGCCTCATTTCTTGTCTTTGCTCAGATGGCCATCGCCTGCCTATCTTATTTAAAATTGCAGCCCTTCTGTCCTGGCTTTGTTTTTCTTTTCAGCACACACCTCCATTGGGCAGCTTGTATGTTCTATTGTTCAGTTGTTTATTCAATGTCTTCTCCCTGAAGACTGTGACTCTGGAAGGCAAAGATTCTGTTTACTTTGTTCATGTCAATGCGGAGTCCCCAGCATGACACCTGAAGCCAGTCACACATTTGGTAAATGTGTTTTTAACAAACTCTGAGCTTTTCCTTCGTCAACCCCCATGGCTCCCATTTTGTAGATAAGGGAACTGAGGTAAACCTGTCTGGGGCCGGAGCTAATAGAGATGGACTGGGATTGTCCCTAAGCAGGGTGCCCATTGTCGGGCCAGGTAGCCTGGGGACTGGAGTTTGTTAACCTTTGCTCTGGATGACAAATGCTCCCAGGTGACCTGTGTCCTCAAGTGACAGCTTTGTCTCCATTTCCTCAGGATGCAGCTCTGAGACGGTCCCGGTCCCCGATGGCCCACGTAGCAACTCTGTGGAAGGAAGTCCTTTCCGACCCCCACACTCCTCCTCTGCCGTCTTCGATGAAGACAAGCCGATAGCCAGCAGTGGGACGTACAACTTGGACTTTGATAACATTGAGCTGGTGGATAACTTTCAGAGCTTGGAGCCTCGTTCCTCAGACTGTAGGAGCCAGGACTGTAAGGTGAGCACACGCAGGAAGTCTACGGAGTCTGTGCCCCCCTCCAAGTCCACGCTGTCCCGCTCGCTCAGCCTTCAAGCCAGTGACTTTGACGGTGCTTCCTGCCCGGGCAGCCCCGAGGCTGTGGCCCTTGCCCCAGATGCCTGTAGCACAGGGTCCAACAGTGCTTCTAGTACTCTCAAGCGAACTAAAAAACCGAGGCCACCTTCCTTAAAAAAGAAACAGACACCCAAGAAGCCCACGGAAACCACCCCAGTGAAAGAGACCCAGCAAGAGCCAGCTGAGGAGAGTCCCATCCCCAGCGAGGAGCATCTGGAATCCGAGACAAAGACGGAGCCGGCCACGGCCGAGGGCTCTGGGTCTGTCCTCCCGGAGGAGACACCCCTGGAACCTGCCGCTGTGCCCAAAGCTGCCTCTCCTCCAGACTCAGACTGTGTGGAGGGAGCCTGTCCCTCAGCTTCCGGAGGTGGCAGGGTGCAGAACTCGCCTCCCATTGGGAGGAAGACGTTGCCTCTTACCACGGCCCCTGAGACAGTGGAGGTGACCCCTTTGGATAGTGGGGGGCAGGAGGACTCCCCAGCCAAAGGGCTCTCAGTGAGGCTGGAGTTTGACTATTCTGAGGACAAGGGTAGTTGGGACAACGAGCAGGAAAATCCCCCTCCTACCAAAAAGCTAGGCAAAAAGCAGGTTGCCAAAATGCCCCTGAGGAGGCCAAAGATGAAAAAGACCCCTGAGAAACTTGACAACACGCCTGCCTCACCTACCAGATCCCCCGCTGAACCCAGTGACATCCCTGTTGCTAAAGGTACCTACACCTTTGATATTGACAAGTGGGATGACCCTGATTTTAACCCTTTTTCTTCCACCTCAAAAATGCAGGAATCTCCCAAATTGCCCCAGCAGTCATATACCTTTGACCCAGACACCTGTGATGAGTCTCTTGACCCCTTTAAGACCTCCTCTAAGACCCCCAGCTCACCTTCTAAGTCCCCAGCCTCGTTTGAGATTCCAGCCAGTATTGAAGCCAATGGAGTGGATGGGGATGGGCTGAACAAGCCTGCCAAGAAGAAGAAGACGCCCCTGAAGACGTAAGTGCAGGGCTGGAGGCAGGGAGGGTGGAGGTGGGGTGCATGGTGCTGTTCCTCCTCGGTCTTATGTCTGGATGACCTTCAGCTGCCCTAACCTCACCGCTCTTGGAATGACGCCATGTTTGCGGCCTTTTCACCAGACAGGCAAGGTACATGTTTTCCTTCCTCTTGCTGCCACACTGCTGGCATTTTGCCATTCACAAACCCCTTTGGGGAAAAGAGTCCTTGATCATTTGCCTTAATAAGTCAGTGGTCACTCTGGGAGGCTGAGGCAGGAGGATTACAAGTTTGAACCCAGCCCGGGTAACTTAGAAACTTAGTGAGAATTTGTCTTAAAATAAATAAAAAAGGGATGGTTGTGTATCTCATTGAGAAGGCCTTGTGTTCAATCTCTAGTCCCAAAAAGACCCAAAAAGTCAGTAGTCTAAAGCTTTACTTTTAGCCAGGGACTTGACATGCAACTCCAGGGGGATGTGGGAGGCCTTGTAGAAAGGTAATAGTCATGAGAGATCTGGCCAACCACCCATTTGTGATTGGGCTTTTCTCCACATTGAAGCCAGGAGATACAGCCTATAAAATATGGTTAAAATTTATAGCATTAGTTTCTGCCCATTCATGAGACTTTAGCCCAGGAATCTAACACAGGAGGTCCATGAGAGAGGAATGTGAACCAGTCCTGAGAAATGGGCTGTTTGTATCTTTCCCTCTCTCTGCTTATCATTTGCAGGCAAGAGTTTATAGGCCCTAAAAGTCAAAACAAAGCACAACAAAAATGAAAACAAACAAAACAATGGAACCTAAAGCCAGAAGCAGAACTTATAATCCCGAGGAGCCATTAATAAATGAGTCTGTTATTCACAATCACTTGTCAAGTGCATAGCCCTTAAATATTCAGTTCAGGTCTCCAGCTCTCCAGCATGCATTCCATGATCCAGCTGTAACTAGGATGATGAAGGACTGTTACTAGGACTCTGGGCCATGTGCAGTATGGTTGACCATTGTGGACTTTCTCTCATGGGAAACATTGACTATAATTTAGCAAGGTTGAGGAAACTAGTCTCCCAGGAGCCTTGCAACTGAACAGGTCCCCATGCTGGCCCCTGTAGGCCTACTTGGCATGATCAAGGCTGGGGGGGTGGCATTTACCTCCCATTCTGGGTTCCCTCAAGCATTGGCCTTCTGAGACTAGCCTAGTACTTCCTGAGAAGTGGTTCTAGAGTACGCTTGGGTTATACTAACTGTGTGGCTGGGAGACCATCAGGCCAAAAAATGTGGACTTCTCTTAGATCAGTTCCTCAGTAGGCCCTTCCTGGAAATGCCATAGGATCCTATTGGAAATCTAATTTTAAGATTAACTACAAGTCATTGTCTACTTGTAAAGCTTCTGCCTCTGTTCTTTGGAATAAGAGTCAACTTGTAGTTAGCATCTCCTTCCCTGAGATTGCCTGCTTATGTTCTGTCTCTAGCCACTTTCTTTTGTGATCATCAGAGCTAATGAAGGTCAAGGAAGCTAACCCCACATCTCATGATCTTACCCTAGTGCAGATGCACTGTTATTTTGAAAGCCTGGGTGACAAAGATCTTAGGGTACCCACACCATTTGAATGATCAGAACGTGGACAAGAAGCTGTTGTCCAAAGATCCCTTTCCAAAAGGCTGGGATATTGCTACCCTATAGCATAATCTTCATTGGGTAATGGTCACATCCTGACTTGCTAGGAACCAGTTGTCTGTAGATCTATCTTTTTTGTCAGTTCCTCTGTCTGTCTCTCTTTTCTTTGTCTTCTTGTCTTAGGATGGTTGAAGATGTGATGTCTGTGTGTTCTCTGTTGTAAGTACATTTAATGCAATCTGCCTCTTACACCAAATGTGCTTTGCCCCTGCCCTTTGTTTTGGCTTGCAAATCCTTTTTTCTTCATCATGGCTGCTTCAATGTACTTCTGTGTTGGGCTTGTGAATGATGGGGCACAGGGCTCCCTGTTAGCAGAGGTTATTTCTGTGTTTCATAGTGATTGTAATGTGTGAGAATGCTTGGCTATGAAAACATCATTATTCAACATCTGCCTGCTTGTTGAGAATGGAACTATTTTTCCTCTTCCATATTGGTTATCTTCATGTGAAACCATACATTGTTTTAACCCTTGATTCCATTCTTTCATTTTAAAATGGGCTGGCAGGCGATTGCTTTTAGTGGTTCCATGGCTTCACAGAAACCGTCCAATGAAAGCCCGGGCAGAGACTGCCATTGCTAACATATGCAGCACAACCATTTGGGCCATTCCAAATTGAGGCTTGCATGAGGCCCTTGAAATATGGAGTTGGCTCCAAATGGAGCTTGTGGCTGAGAGCCTTCGCCATGCTGCCCTGGGCTATGTCCTCGGTCACTTAAATCCAGGCTGGATGTTGGCATGCCTTGTCTGTCACCTGCAGGTCTCCCGCCAGGCATCAGTGTAGCCGATCACCTGTGTGCCTCTGCCACCCTGCCTCCCCTGGCCAGGGAGGGATCTTGTGGGCAGTGATCAGGGTGCCAAAATCAAGTGCCCTCTTCCTGTCCTTCAAAGGGAAGCCGGCCTGGCCCGGGTGTCTGGCAGTCCCAGGGTAGGGTGGAGTTTCTCAGACTCTTTTCTGCCCTAAACATTTCTGTAGTATTTTCAAACCATTTTGCAGCTACACAATACCCAGCTATATATTTATATGCATGAATAAATATAAGCTTGAAGCTGTGGTCTTACTCTTCTTATATGGTAAATGCCATAAATAACCATTTTATATATGGTATTGTTCTTCATGATTAAATGCCATTGTTGGAATGTTCTGTTTGGAAGAACACAAAGGAAGGAGTGTGGGTGCCCAGTTGCTTTGCCCATTTAACATGGAATGCATGGGAGGGTGGTGGGAGCTAAGGTGAGAGACCTCTGTCCCCAAAGTCCTTGCTTTGCAGGGAGTTGGATCATATGAGGGACAGGATAGAGACCAGCAGGCAGGGGAGAGAGCCTGCATTCTGACTTGGAGATGACTTGTGACTGTCTGTTGGACTCAGCAGTGCCATTTCTGCTAAAAGCCACTCCTTTTTCCTGAGGTCTGCCTCCTTGACCCTTCACAGATTTTAGCTGATGTCCTTCCTCCCCTCACATGGTCTACATGAAGGAGAAAGAAAGAAAAGAATCATTAATCTTGACTGTTAACCATGGTTAGGAAAAGACATAGCTGGCCCTGTGTTTGGTGGGAGTCCTCACCAGAATCCTGCAGTGCTCCAGAATCCAGTAAGCTCGAAGTTGGTGTGAATAGGAAGGATTCCACAAATTTGATTTATGCATAGGGTCCTTCAGCTGTTCATTAAGTGTTGTATGGCCCTCGCCCGTGTGAAAATTGGATCCTGTTAATTAGTGTCACGAGTTTAGAACCAACCCCTCCCCCAGCCTTAGTTGGTGCAGACATTCCTGGAAGAATCCAGATACGTTAATCTGTTCACTAAAGTTTGCTTTGTAAAATCAGAGCATTTAGTTAAATTTAGCTTCATTTTTTTTCCAGTCAGTGCTCCAAATGGCATCTCTTTAAAGATACCCAGCTTGATGGATCTTTCCTTTGTGGGGAAAAATAATATCTACTAAAAAGTCAGAATAAATTGGTATGGACGTCTTTGATTGGAGTGGGCAGAGAGGAGGGTGGCCTGGGCAGATAGCTTGGCAGAGGCGGTGGCTTCCACCTGCTCTATATTGCTTGGGATGTTCCGTAGCTCTGTTTGTTGTGTTTACATTTTCCATTTTGTTTCCAGTGACACATTTAGGGTGAAAAAGTCGCCAAAACGGTCTCCTCTCTCTGATCCACCTTCTCAGGTACAATGTTCCTTTGATCTTTATGATTTTACTGTCACCCAAAGAGTATTACCCCAGGCAGCTGAGCTTTCCTTTCTGCTTTTCATGGGCATGTTTCCAAGGTCCTCTTGCTCCTACATGGGGAGGTCCCTTGTTTTGGTCAAGATTGTTTTGATCCCTTCACTTTGGCCGAGACCAGGGTGTATCGTGAGAGTAGGAAGAAGTTCAGGGAAAATGATAGTTGGATTCTGCAGGAGGAACTGTTCTGATCCATTCTATCCACTTGCTGAGAACTTTTGTAGCTCTTAAGTTGAAAAATTCTTTTGAGATCAATGAATGCAGAGTAAGAAAATGTAAAAACTGAATGTGTGTCAGAAGCACTAGATTATGACCCTAACATCAGGGTAGGAAGGTGAGAGAACCTGACCCCACAAAGAAGTGGCTGCTTGGGTTGTTTATTTATATGAGTCCCTGTTTCTCTTAATAGTTCTTCATCAAGTACATGCCATTTCTTCTGCTCTCTTTATAGACTGAGGAAGGTTGCTATCAAACAGGTTTGCCATACCATTCCTGGGTCATAAAACAAGCAGACTTCTTCCATCTCACTAAATCAAATCAGCTAAGTCCCAGCCCCAAGAATTGGCCCTGTCCAGAGATCAGAAGGCCCTGGACCTGGACCTCTGAACAGGGTGTCCAGTCACAGCTCTGCTTCCTCATTCCTGAGTTCCACCCTGCCCTGCTCAGCTCCATCCTTTCCTGTGGGGTGGCACTATGACTCCCTTTCTCCCAGACTTCCAGGGACTGGCATGTGGAGTGTTAGGGGATATTGATGATGCTGACCCCCAATCTTTCATATGAGCATTACACAGTAGTTGTTGGAATGAAGTTAGCAGAAATGTCTCAGATAACTAAAATATAAAATCCTGATTAAAAAAACAAAGAAAAAAACCATGATCACTCCTTGAAACAAACCATCAGAAGGAGATTCATAAAGGAAAGAATGTGTTTTCCTGAGGGTCACCTGGAGCCAAGTCCAAGCAGAACAGGTAGAGGATTTTGATGGGGACCTCTCCTGGTGAAGGGGCTTCAGACTACTGGGTGAGTGTGATTTCTGACCACTACACTGAATAAAAGAGAAGACTGCCTCTCTGCTGCTTGCAGGACCCTACTCCAGCTGCAACACCAGAAACACCACCAGTCATCTCTGCAGTGGTCCACGCAACAGATGAGGAAAAGCTGGCAGTCACCAGTCAGAAGTGGACATGCATGACTGTGGACTTGGAGGCTGACAAACAGGACTTCCCACAGCCCTCAGACCTGTCCACCTTTGTAAATGAGACCAAATTCAGTTCACCCACGGAGGGTAAGCAACTTGGTGGGCAGCTGGACCCCCACCACCCTGCCTTGGAGAATATTGCCCCTGGGGAGCAAAAGGCCAGGAAAGGTACTTCTCAGCCAGGTAACTGTTACTGTTACCCGGTGACCATCTGCATGCCCCCCAGTGCCCTTGAAGCTAAGGCTGTGCTTTAAAATAGCCTAAGACTTGAAGCAGTCCCTTGACCCCACAGTGCCTGCTAAGAAGTAGCCCAGCCCTCTCTAATCCAGGTGTTTTTTTTTTGTTGTTGTTGTTTTTTTTTTTGGGGGGGTACCGGGGATTGAACTCGGATCCTTGCCCTTGCAGGGCAGGCCACCAAACCACTGAGCTAAATCCTCGGCCCTCTAATCCAGGTTTTGAGGGCTCACTTCCATTTGCCTATTCTTGGCTGTATGACTTAATGTCCCTTCCATGATTTGGGGGGAAAAGGCTTAAATGAAGCGTTGTTCCCATCAAATGCTCAGTATAGTTCAGTGCACCTGGGAGTACCTAGGTACCATCATTTTTATAGCCCCTACGGAATGGTGAAACAACACAGGTATACCTTTTAATCAAATCCAAACCAGAGGTTCACCCCAGGCTTACTGAGCTACATACCCACTCCTTTTACTTTTTTTTTTTTAAAGATAGGGTCTCACTAAGTCTTAAGTTGCCCAGGCTGTGCTTGACCTGGAATTCTCCTGCCTCAGCCTCCCAGTACTGGGATGACAGGCATATGCCATCATGCTCGACCATGCAATTCAGTGTTTACCCTGGAAGTTCTTTCGTGGTCAGTCCTCTTAGTGGTTTGCTTGGTGTCCGCAGTGCATTTGTGTTGAGTGTAGTTCATAATAGAAATAGATGTTTCAGGTTTTGGGATGTTCATTTTCTCTCCATACTAAGCTGTTGTCCTTTGTGTGACCCCGAAAAGATGATTCGAATATATACATTTGGACTTTTTGGAATCTGTTTCTATAAAATACATCTGTTCGATTAGCTGCCATTTGGCCCTCCGGCTTAGAGTTTGGGAGGTCTCAAAGTTACCATCTCACTGTAGTCCAGTGATGGCAAAACTTTCAGAGCTTTCAGTGATACACACAGCCAGCTGTGTCCTGTGTGTCCCAAGTCTGCTGCCACTATTCTAGCCTGACACCGCGGGCCCCAGGCCCCAGGCTCAGCCTTCCTTCAACCCTTTTTTCCCTCTGCTCACACCTGAGTCGTAAGCCTCTCTCAAATGAACAACTTTTTCCCTGGGGCACCCCTTGCCAGTCTGTGGCCACTGCCTGCCCTGCATCCGCCTCCCTGTTTTCCACCCTCTCCTATCTCAGACTTTTCCTAGATGTCCACTCCCTGCTCTGCTTTCCTCCACTGCTTGTCTGGCCCAACCTGGGGCACTTACAACTGCACGGTGAAGACGTGTGTGCTTTTCTTTTTTCCCAAGTAGCTTCCTGTAGGCAGGAGCTCTCGTGCCTGTCTGTGTCCCCCCACAGCACCCTGAATATCAGGGGCTAAAGATTGTTCTGAGATGAAGGAAATACAAGGTCAACTCAGTCGATGTGATCTTTGTAACATGTATCACCTGGATGAGGTGTGAGGGGACCTCAAGGGGAGATGTCTTACGACCCAGAAGCAGCAGATGCCATTATGGCATAAACGTTAACCTTGCCATTTCTACAGTGCCTGTGGTTTTTAACTGGCTCACATCCTTTGAGCTGTACAAGAATCTTCTAGCATAAGCAAAAATTATTTCAAAACCCATCTAGGATTGGCACTGTGGATGAGAATAAAATAACATGATCTAGGAGTGTGTCTGTGGTTTGGTTTTATTAGAAATCAGATGCATGGACATCTTCCCTTAGAAATAAAGACCTGAGTACTTGTTTAAGCTAGTGAGTACCTTATTCAGTGCCACCATCTATTTGTTCACCTTTGCTGTTGTCCCAAAACAAATGCTTCACAAGCTCAGTGTTCAACAAACACGTGCGTATGTAAGTTTGAAGCATGATCCTCTTAACTCCGCCTCATAGAAGACAATGTTGAAGGTTTGGGAGTCGCAACTATAATTTTGGCTGTTATGTGATTAAAAACCCATCATTACACTTATAGTTTCAGGAAGTGTTGATCTGCTTCATCCTCCTCAGGGTTGTAGGCACTGGCTGCAGGTCCCTCTGTCCGATCATCCCCCCATTACTTTATTAAGTTAAATTCAGCAGTGACACACACACACACACACACACACACACACACACGCCGATGCGACGTCTGAATGAATCAGAACAGGCCTGCAGCTGTGATCTGAGACTTTCTTACACAGAAGTCACCAGCCACAGGGAAATGAAATGTTGAGCTACAAATAATAATTACTGTTTGCACCCATCTTCACTCTTAATACTGATTCAATAGGTGAGGAGAGGAACACAGTAACTGTCACTGGCTCAGCATGTTCCTTGAGTTGGGCGAGCCTCTCATACACATGATTTCATTTCTTCCTCCCAGCACTGTGATGATTTTCTCCTTGCTTTAAGAAAGGAGGAATACAGGCTTGGTGCTGTTAAGCGACTTGCTCAGTGTCGTGCGGCTGATCCATGGAGATCTGGATCTGTTTGACTTAACTGTGCACTTTCCCACTCTGCTGTTCATGTGAGCACTGACCACGCTTCCTGCCTTCATCTGCAGGATTTGCTTTCTCATCTGGGTGCCCAAGAGCGGTGTTGAAGAGCTTCATGTTGTCTATAATATTTCAAAATCCCCGATGAAAATAGTTTACAGAGATGCCCAGGTGATTACAGTAGCATGCTTGAGCTCTACTACATTAACTCTGATGATCTCCACCAACTGAAAACTCAGATTGACAGGTAGAAATGCGCAGCCTCGTTTAATCAGTGCCCTAATCCCATGCAGTCTTTTCAAACGTGGCCCTGTGACCCCTTGGGAGGAAAGGGCCTGTCTAGCCCCTGAGAACTCACTTGCCTCTGGTCCGGGAGGCCCTCACAGAGCAGTTGTTTTTAGATTCATAAGTCTGGATGACCCTTTGCCAGTCACGGAGTTCCCTACTCCCCTGTACACTGCCAAACCACCTTCTTCCCTCATTCTAGCAGAGCGGAAGGTGTCCTTGGGAGCCTAATCCATTTTTAATGGTTGCCACCATTGCTACCACATGCATCATCAGACATTGAGAAGGGACAGTGAGGCTGTCAGGACCGCTGCCTCTTTCCTTTCCAGAAGGCTCTCTTCTTTTGCTGTTATGACATCACTTACACAGTGGACCCTTGACTTATGAACTGTTCATTCCCAGGGTCTGGTGGTAGCTCAAGTCAGTCAATTGAAAGTTCAGGCTCCTCTACACAACCTTCAAAGTCTCTCTCCTGTATACAGGCAGATATCAGTGTTCTTAGAGAATCATTGCCCCAGGATTTCTCATTCAACCCCACACAGGAAAGGATATTGTAATGCTTTTTCCAGAACTCTTTTAAGGGTTCGTTCGGTCTATATCTGAGACCATCTGGAAGCACAAACAGCCAGCATTCAGGTCATATATAACTCAAGATTTTGGCCCTAAGTTAAAATTAAAATCCCGGTTGTAACCCAGGTTGTTAATATGTCAAGCTGATTATAATTTGAGTGCCCACTGTATTAAAAGTTCCAGAAATATTATCAATGAGCAATAATAGCAGTGAGCAAAATGTAAAGGATCCCTTACATTTATATAACCCATTGAATAGACTTGATTTTACACTATTTCATCTTATCCAAAAATGTGGCTGTTTGAGCTCCATTTTTAGGTGAGTCAGTTGTCACAGAGTAGTCAGGTGAGTTGGTTTCCCTGATCCTGGAAATGAAGATCCTCTGGCTTCTGATTATGGCTCGTTTTAGTCCCCCAGCAAAGCTCCAGCAATTAGAGCCAGGCAAACATCAGTCAGGCTGTCTCCCTGTGCAGTGCCCTCATAGAAAATAATTACTAGAAGCAGCCCGTGGATATCAGAGCACACATTAAAAATCACTTTGGGCCTCTTCAACTTGAAGCAGCCACAAACTTTAGCAAGTGAGCTTCCCTTGAAGTTGTAGAGATAATGTCCCTCTTGGTGCCATTGATATAACGCTCCCTGGTCTGCCACTTGCATGGGGCTTGTGTGAAAAGGATGCCGAAATTGAACACACTTTATTCCTACCCTGTATAAGGCTTAGTATTCACAGAAGATGAGTGAGATTTCATAAAGCCAATTTCAATAAGGTGTTTTCTTTTTTGGTACTGGGGATCAAACTCGGGACCTTGCACTTACAAGGCAGGTGGTGTGGCACCACTGAGCTAAATCTCCAGCCTAATAAGATGTTTTCTTAAAATAGCAGAGACCGCCCTGATGATGGGGAGAGGCATTTAATTTCCTTCCATCCTATCCAGGCTGTTGTGTAAATTATAAACGAGGACCCCACATGCATATGGTTAGAAATGGCAGGGCATCTTCTGAAGGAGCATCTCTGGGTGCCTATCATGAGGGTGAGGTTCCCAGGCAGAGGGTGGGTCTCCTAGAGCCAGGCCATTACAGATCAGTATTACTTGGGGAACAGAGAACCCCCCTGAAGGGAAAACGGGGAACACTGGGCAGTAGGAAGAGAAACCCCCTTGGCAGGTTGGAGAGGAGGCAGGTGAGTGAGCTTGGTGACCTGAAACACCCAGATCTGGCTGCCGGGGGAGTGGGCCAGGTGCTCAAGTGGGGTGCCCTACTGTGGTGATCAGAGCCGGGGCCATAGGTCCCTGAAGAAGCTCTTTTTTTTTTTTTTTTTTTTTTTTTTTTTTTGTACTGGTGTTTGAACTTGGGACCTTGCACATGCTAGGCAGGCAGTGGAACCACTGAGCTAAATCTCCATCCCTCCCTCACCCCCACTGAAGAAGCTCCTGGTAGCCCCTTGTTTATTGGTGCATCCTATTGCTCTGTGCCATTTTAGGGGGAGGTCCTGAGAGATTCCTTTTAAATAATTTAGGGTTGTACAATACTTTGGCAATACTAACGCTGTTATCTTTTCCACTTTGACAGTCTCTAACAGGACAGTAAAATGGTACGCTGGGGTCTCATACACACAAAATGTTAGAGCCGCAGAGGCCCAAGAGCTCACCTTGCCCATCACTCCTCCCCCTCCCACACCTGCCCTCACTTTAAGATGAAGAGGGCCGAGTCTTCATAAGCCGTCGCTTTTCTGGGTGCTGAATTGGCACAGGCTTGCATGACAGTTGGAGGTGTTCCTTCCAGACTCATCTCAGTAGCCTGTGCTTCGTGCTCCTGTCTCTGCACAACTCCAGGTGTAAACATCTGGGAGGGAGGGTGTCCTGGTCGTTCAGCCACAAAGCAAGCTTCAGCTTTGTCCTCTTAGATTTTAATAGTCCTCATTTGAAAATTGATTTGGGCTGGCCCTTTAGACACTGGTAGAACACTGGGAAATGTCCAGGTGACTGCAAAGCCTCTTACAGGCAACATTGGAGGAAAAGTATTTGTCCTTTTCTTGCTTTGCGGTGGAGCTAGAACTGAATTTGCAGGGAGGGACAAGAACAGGTCCAGCTCCAAGATGTCTTCAGGGAGTATCCTTCCACATGCTGCACATAAGAGTTACAGGAGACCAGCACCAAAGTGCACACACTCTGATCAGAAAATGGCGCACAGTGCTCAGATTTGCCCATAGCCACCACTGCTTCACTTCTTTGGGACTCCTCAGATGCCCTAAAGGCAGAGTCCCTGCCAGCAAGTAATTGACAGAATAACTGGAAACAGCTGGGCAGCTGCATCACAAGTCCCCTGTCATTCCTCAAATCTTTTCCATTTTTGTCTCTGGCACTGATCTCACTTTGTGTTTCTTTGCAGAGTTGGATTACAGAAACTCCTATGAGATTGAATATATGGAAAAAATTGGCTCCTCCTTACCTGTAAGTTCTTCCTGCTCTGCACTTTGCTGTGACAGACAGGCAGGAAAGTGTACCAGTACACAGACTGAAATCAGTTTCCTGGATAGAGTGTGGGTTCTGTCATCTCTTGGTGTGTCCCTCAGAGTGTCTGCTTCTTCCTAAGGTCACCAACCTAGTTGTGGACACCATATATGTAATACCAAGGGAAAGACATTTTACTGATGAAGTGGAACATTCATATAATTTGATATTATTGATTTAATGGGGCCAGAACCACCAGGGGCCGCTTCTTATGCACATACCTGCTGACCAGTGCGTCAGCAAGCCTCACACATGGCTTTCATGAAGAGTTTACCCTGCCCAGGATCCACACAGCCATCCAGAAAGCTTGTGATGGTGCAGAGCAGCATGCCTGCAGCCACAGCAATGGGGTCTTCTGTAGTCACCCCAGAGTGCAGAGGTCTTTGTGGATCTTCTCATCACTAAGAAATGCCAGTCCTTGTTTCCAGGCTCAGTACATGTGGCCATAGGGGGTTTGGTCTTGGTCCCTACTCTGCCCACTGGTCTGTCCACTCCCCCACTTAGCTTCTAATTTCAGAGCCCTGTGCACCAGTGTGGCTCTGCTCCTCTGCTGGCTCTGAAGACACCTGGATCCATAGGCTCTTAACCTCAGCGCACATACCAAGTTCTCTTCTCATACCCTTCTTGCCCATGCCCACTGAGAGGAACCCTTGTCCTTTCAGGCTAAGCCCATTGCTCTGTCCTCCTTCCCCATGCTCATCCCTGGGTCACTAAGCTGGTCTCCCCCACTTGACTGTGGGCAACCCCAAGCCAGGAGCCTGCCTTAGTCCTCCATTTATCCTCAGTGGCCAGCACAGTGTCTGACCCACAGTGTCAGTAAACATTGGTGCCCGAGCAGGGTCGGCTACACATCCAGTTCTTTCCTCCCACACATCGCCACCTGTACCAGTTGCACATTCCCCACCATGTATTTTCCTCCCTCCCCATCTCCTAGCCAGGCCCTGCTTTCTCCTCTCTTCCTGATCACTTGAGAGAAGTGAAAGCTTTTCCCTGATGAGTTGTTTGATCCCTACTGGAGAGTGCTCTGATTTTCATCTCAGAGGCATGTTCAGGCTGACTATGCCAAGCTGATGTGTGCCTTTGATCCCTGCAGCAGGATGATGACGCCCCGAAGAAACAGGCCTTGTACCTTATGTTCGACACGTCTCAGGAGAGCCCCATCAAGTCTCCCCCAGTCCGGATGTCAGACTCCCCAACGCCGTGTTCAGGGTATGGCTACCATGATGAGAGAGTTACTGGTCAGGCCAGACACCTCAAAGCCCCTGAGCACTTTCCCACTGTTAGCCTGACTCCATTCCCTTTCATGTATTGAGACAGCCTGATTTCTGTCTCTGTCCACGTGCACACAGATGGTTTTGTCACGGGGCTCTTTGTACTAAGGTGAAAGCCTTTAACAGCTGACTTGACCCCCGTTGCACCCCCAGTTTATACACTTTCTGTCATTTGTCCATTGGAGGATAGCACGGCACACCATTCAGAACCTGGGTCACCACATCATTCCTTAATGGTTAATGTGAGTTACTTGACCCCCCTCATGCTTCAGTTTCTCCAGTTGTCAAGCGAGAGTAATAGACTAACCTCAGAGGTAATTAAGAAAATAATAGGAGGCTGTTAGTCCAAAGCTTCCCCTAGCTGTGCAGTGGGCACAGGGTACCCGGGGTCCAGAGAGCTGATGTGTGGGAAGCACTCATCAGAGTTCCCATCACATTTGCAGTGCTTGATAAATGTATGTTACTAGTATGGATGGTGGTTTTTTTCCTTTGTCACAGTTCATGCTGTGAGCAGTTCAGTGTTGATTGGGCAAATATTGGCATTGCTCTTAGGGTTTGGACTGCCTGCCTGCCTGCCTGCTCCTTCCATTACGGAAGACTGGAAGTTCTTGGTTTGACTCCTCAAACTTATTGAATCTGCCCAGGGGCTGAGTTGATAATGTTGTTACAGCAGTAATGTGGCCATATGAAAGGCACTGTGTTGAGTATTGTACATAATACAGCATACTTAATCTTCTCAAAGGTACATTGCCTTTATCTTACAGCCTGAAAAATGGCTCCAGTTACTTTCCCCAGAGTGCATAACTAGCAGTGGGCTATTTGCTTAACACCAGATCTTGTGCCCCTTAGCCAATGGCATCTGTGCTCTGTCCCTCCTGTGTCAGTTAGTGCTAGGTGGGGACTGGGCTGCACCTTCCCTCTGACTGCCCAGCTGAGAGGCTGCATGGCCACGGAAGACCTGGCCCATGTCCCCCTGAGGACATAGCCCCAGAAGTCCAGAACTCTTGGGCTGTTGCTTCAGTTATAGATTCCTGGTTGATTCCAATGAGAACATGCTGAAGATGCCCTTTGTTTCCTCAGGTCAAGTTTTGAGGAGACTGAAGCCCTTGTGAATGCTGCAGCAAAAGTCCAGCATCCTGTCACACGAGGGCTGGCCACCAGCCAAGAGCCACACTTGCAAGTGCCAGAGAAATCCTCCCAGAAAGACCTGGAGGCCATGGCCTTGGGGACCCCTTCAGAGGCAATTGAAATTGTAAGTGGAGCTGTAAATCCCCGGGGATGAGACCAGGGCCTGACAGTGCCATCACCACCACCTGGCACTTGCTGTGGGGCCCATCCTGGCTCCCAGGGTACAGAAACCAGCCTCCGGGCCCCCACATCATCACGATGAGGGAAAGGTCCTCCCTTCCCACCAGGATGGCTTGGCAGTTCTCACCTAAATGCTTTTGTTTGCACCTAGAATTATTTGTTTCCCATTTGTCCCCTCTTGGGACTGGACTGTTTCTTTGGAGCCATTACCAGGCAGTACTTTGCCTCTCCAGCCTGTCTAGCACAGGCAGAGAATAGCAGAGTGGGGTCACCTCTTCTTAAGAACTCAGGTGGTTTTCCTGGGTAACTCTCATTTGTAGACCAGGAATTTTACCTCTCCTTTCCCAGCTCTCCCAGTGCCTTGCAGAGCCAACAGACCTGAGTTGAAGGTTTCACCCACCCAACTCCCTGCATGTTACATGTGTCCATCAGTCATCTGCGGTCTCCTTGGAGTATGTGATGCACATGTGAGGATTTTCCACCCTTATTTTAATTTCTTTGATCTGTGTCCTAGCGGATCTCCAATCAGGTGTGGAGGCATTGATTTAGTGTGTTACCTTTGTTGTTCTATCTTAGAAGACTTCATTTATCTCATGTAGTAAATATTTATTGTGAACCTACCATGTGCTTGGCAGTTGGGTGCTGAATTGGAGAATGGAAACGTAATGGCGAAAAGAGGGTCTAGACATGAATCCATCATCTTGCAAACAAATGCCACGAAGGACTTATGGTTTACCATCTACCAAATTGGCCTCTGATTTGGAAGTCTACCCAAAGACACTTTTTTTGTTTGAAATCATCTTTCTATTATTTAGAAAATGACTTTTACCAAAACCTTACTTCCTTTGATGTTTATACCTGGAGCTATTTTCTTGATGCATTTCATTATGTTTTGCAAAATTATCAACTAGCTTGTTTCCCACCTATTGCTAGGGAGCAAGGGTGGCCTGCCGGTGGGGAGGGCACCTAGTACTGTGTTTGCGGGAGGGGATGGGGCCTCCCGATCTCCAGTGTTCATTGTCGGCAAGTGGGAATTCGTCCAGATGGCAGCTGGAGTGCTGCAGCTAATTGATAACTCTCTTTAGTCTTAAGGCAGAATATGCAGCAGATGCATGCATGATCCTTGTCTGGAATCAGTATCACTCTCTGCTCTCCTCTATTTTTCTCCTGTGACCTCCTCTCTGCCGGCCTCCAGACAGCTCCTGAGGGCGCCTTTGCCTCTGCTGATGCCCTCCTCAGCAGGCTGGCCCATCCTGCCTCTCTCTGTGGTGCGCTTGACTATCTGGAACCCGACTTAGCAGAAAAGAACCCCCCAGTATTTGCTCAGAAACTTCAGGTTTGTAGCCCATGTGTGACCTTTTGGGAATTTGTCAAAACCTCAGTAGAGAATGAATCCCCAGGCCCCAAATAACCTGAGGCAGTTTGTAATGAGGAAATGCTGAGGATGTTCCAGATGAAATATCTTCCCCTCAAACACTAATTTATGTGGTGTACTTTATCCAGGATGCTGAAACTGTATAAATTGTACAGTTACATATTGAATGAACCATTTCTCTTTCAGTTTGGAACTTTGGCTAAACAGTCACTACTCAGTTGTACTGATAGCCCCAAAAGCAGTTTCTTTGATTTATTCACAAAACCAAAAATATGAGGTCACCACGGAGCCAGGCTGTTTATATATTCGTGCAACCTCAGCTTCCCATTGAGATAACATCTGGACTCAGCCTTGCATCTGGAAGCAAAATTATTATCTACTCTGTGCTTTAAATTTGACAACTTAATTCGATATCCCCTAGACTTGGAAGTTTGGGGTACACCAAGAGGGTCTTTTGAGAGATGCACATCCATTTGTGTAAAGTGTTAGCCAACTTTAAGAAAAACAAAAGGAAAGAAATCAAAGAATACAGTACAGTAAAATCTTTGATCCGGTTTTGAAAATCACTTTCTGTTGTACTGCATGATACTTCTTGACAGATATTCAAAAGAGCAGTTTGGCAAAAAGCAAATTAACACACTTATTTCATGATCTGCTGAGGTGATCACTGTGAAGAAAGCTGGGCATGTGTTTTCCCCCAAGTACCCGTCGTGACACATTTATGTGGCACATTCATTTCCGGGATGTGGAAAACATTGCATCTGTCTTGGTGCATTTCCCCTACGGCCTGCTCACACCCCACCCCTCGGGCAGGAGGAGTTAGAGTTTGCCATCATGCGGATAGAAGCCCTGAAGCTAGCCAGGCAGATTGCCCTGGCTTCCCGCAACCGCCAGGACACCAAGGTACCGGTTTGCCGCTGCAGTGCACTGCCTCCTGGGAATGCTGTGTGTGCCACTGTGGTCCAGGGAAGCTTTGCTAACCATCGGCCAGGCAGGCGTGGTGGGTGTCCTGCAGAGTGTGCCTTCCAAAAACACTAAAAGTGTAACTCTTGCACAAACATGCATATGTAAGCTCTGCTTAATTGAAGAATGAGAAAACTGGCAGATGGCAGTGCTGGCTAAGTGGAGAACTGGAGAAGCTGAAGTACAGACTTAAGGTGACAAAATCAGATGGAATACTGACTCATCAAGACTAAGAAATCATTGCCTTTGAGGCTATCTTTTTTTTTTTTCTATAAATATTACTTGTTTCTCTGTAAACAAAAATAATTTGCAACTTTTCTGTTTTCTGCAAGTTCATATCTAACTTCACTGAGAATCAGTAGTAATTAGTCAGTGAAAGCAACACTTGCCCTGAGTCGTTACACAGTCCTTTGGTGCGGGGCAGCTGGTAAACATTGAGGGTTTGCAGGACACATCTGGCCTGGGTCACAGCTGCCTGCCTGGCACTGCTGTGCCAGTGCAGCCTCACGCAGTATGCAGAGAAATGGTGCAGTGTTGTCTTAGGAAACTTATCTTCCTCCTCCATCTCCTCTTTCTCCTCCTCTTCTTTCCCCTCTCACCTTTTTCCTCCTTTTTTCTTGGTACTTGGAATCAAACTTGGAAGCTTGTACTGGCAGTGGCACCACTGAGCTACATCCCTGGCTCTCCCCCACTTATTTAAAAACAGAAAAGGGCATTAGGTCATTTGGCCTGTGGGCCAGTTTGTCAGTCCCTGCTTTGCCAGTGGAGTGTGGCATTAACAAGGCATGCCTGAGGGCATCTTTCTACCTGGCTCCCAGGTTTGGGGTCATTTTTCTTCACACTTTGAGTGGGGTGCTGATCATAAAATCGTGTTGCCCTCAGGCTGCTGGCGACCTGTAGTCTCCTAGCAGTGGCCTCTTTTCTATCCCTCACCCCACCCCTGAGTCCGGCAGTCCCGTGAACTTGGTGTGTCAGACCTAGGAAGAACCCTGCTTGTGTTGTGTGAGCCTCAGCTTTTCCACCTTGGAGATGTGGCTCACCAGTGACTGCTGGTTGCGTGAGGACTTCAGATGACATGTGAAGAGCTACCCTATGCCTGGCACACGGTTGGTGTGCAATAAAAAGAAGGTGCTTTTCTTGTTAGCTAACAGTTTACCTCTGCCTCTTAGCTGATCAGATTCTCATGACACTTCCGGGGGCAGATTGAGGTCCACCTATACAGATGAGGAAATCAAGCCTCTTAAAGGTATTTCACCAGCCTCAAACTAGAATTCCAGTCTCTAAACGGGGCCCTGCAAGTCTTTTTCACATAATATCTCATCCACGGAAGAACCTCAGTACTTAGTGCGGGAGTAGGGTTTCCAGCTGCTACTCTGCCCCAAGGGCCCATACATGTGGTCTTCTTGGTTGTAGCCCAGAGAGACCCCTCCTGGAGACAGGAGGTGGCCACATTGTGGGCTTCCAGACTGGGAACTATAGGACTCCAGGTAAGAATGTAAACACAGATCAGTTATGTCATGGTTGCCAAACCATAAAATTGGGTTGAACTTCCATGAAAATGAGAACTTTAGAAAACATTACACAGTGAGGATACCCCACCCCACCCCCACAAGCACATACACGGTTTATCTCCTCCTGTCTTTGCAGTGCATACCTGAAAAGAAGTCTGACGCAGAACAGAGCATGTTCCCCTGAGTAATTCCAGTTGGGCAGGAAATGTTCTGGAGTCTCCTGCCTCCTTCCTCTAAGAGCATGCTAGAGGTGGTCCTCAGCAAACAGGCAGATAGAGTTGATGACCCGTCAGTTACAACCTGTTCTCAGAGCATGTGTCCCAATTTTGATTTAGGAAATTGTGTCACATGGAGCCACTGAGTGTGGGCCCAACATGCAGCCCAAACCACCTCCTTATGTATTTCAGAATTGCATGCTAGAAGGAATATTCTGTTTTAGTAGAACTGTCTTGGAGTATAAGGAACATCTTTTCTCTACCATAGGAATTTGTATTGCTTTTGGAAAATATGTTATCTGATAACTCTGGCCCATGGGAAATAGATGTTCTTTCTGTAGCTAGCCAGCCTGAGGGAAATTCTTGGACCTTAGTGCAAGTAGGTCCCTGTAGGATCCTTACTCACATAGATTCTTGATGGCCCCTCACTGTGTCGGAAAGTGCTGATCTATAGCACAAGCAGCTGGGTGTCTGATTTGCTCTTCTTCCTGCTGCTGCATTTCAGCTGCAGGTGACAGAGCTCTGTCTGGTGGTGCTAACACAAAAATGAAAACACTTGGAATAAGGATGTCCTATTGAGAGGATGAACATTGGCAGGAACTGGGGGGTATTGGGTTATTTCTTAGAGCACCTTCACCTATCATTTCTCTTTAACTTGACAGAGTTGAGTTAGCCTTTGAGGAACTCCAGTGAGGCTTCCTTTTCACCGATCAAGTCATTAGAAATAAGAGGTCCCTAGGAGCTGGGGTGTGAGGATGCAACCTCATTGTTAGTTTCCTCCTACATTCTTCTGGCCAAACTTGGTTTCTCCCCCTGGGGTGAATTTGACCAGGGTTTCTGGAAGGCTGCACAGCATTATCAGGTTGGACAGAATCTGAATGTCAGGACTATATGGCTTTCCAAGGGGTGCAAAGCACAGGGCCCTTGTTCTGATCTGTGTGTGACCTCTGGTTGTGATGTTGGAGCTGCTGGGCTTTCCAGGCACCTGCTATGTAGACTGAAGGATGATGTTCTATGATGGTAGGTTTAGAGTGGGGGCTATCAGCACCATGGGGCGTGGGCGCGGTATGACTCCTGTTCTCTAATTCTTCCAAGCTTCCTGGCTTGGACAAGCAGGAACCTGAATTTTACATCAGCTGGAGCAGGAGCTGGGTTGAGGGATCACTTGTATTGTTGGCGAACAGCCTGGCATTGTGTTGTTTCTTCCTCTGACCCTATGAAAGACACACCAGCCACACCCTCCCACCACCATTTCACAGTCGGACCAAAGAGGGAGACAAGTCTGAAAGCCATGAGAACAGTCTGAAGAGCAGTAAGAAAGGAGTAGCATGGAGGCCTCAGTTCATTTGCCAGTTTTGAGAATGTATAGTCACCTGGAGCCTGTGTTTAAGGATTGGGTGGTTGTTCCCATGTGGCTCCAATACCCTCTGAAAACCAGTCCACACTCCATGGGCTTAGCTTAGTCTGCCACGGTCACTGTCTGTTTATGACTCCAGGTCCTCACCCCAAGTGGCCTCTCCTTCATGGCTATTCCAGACTTGGGTCTGTACTCATTTCCTCCACAACTGGCTTATGACTGCTCTGGGACAGGGATCCTGGGACCACCCAAGCCCCCAAGGTCTTAGAACAAGAAAGACCATAAAGAGGACTGTGAGCCAGGGTGAGTGACAGGATAGCCCCTGGCTGCAAGGCCAGCAGGAGGCCAGGCTTAATGCTTGTCCATCTGAAGGGATCCCAGTGGCCCAAGGGTTCTCGCAAAGCCCAGGACTTAAGGAGTGGATTGAAAATTGAAGTTGGTTGCAGAGACCCTTGCCTTCTGGCCTGTGACCATTTTTACATTTCAGTTTGATTCTAGTGGCTGGGGGTGGAGGGGCTCATTAAAGTAGCAAGTAGAAAGTTATGTGAGAAACAAAGCTCAGTCTAAAAATAAATGATCTAAAAATATCAGTGAGAGACAAACCTTTTACTTTCAGTTGAAAGTATTTCTTAGTTGTAGGGAGAAATCAGACTGTGTGATGAATTTCATTAATATGTGAATACTAGATAAGAGCATTAATTTAAATGGGTCTTGAAGTCATTTGTTCTTTTATGGAAAACACCAGGTGGCCACCATGAACAGTGACCATAAAGCAGTCTGTAGGGTAGCATTCCTTTTCATTTGCCTAGAAAGATCATTGTTTTATTCCTTTTTCCCATTCATTTCCTTGTTTTAAAAAGCTTAAAGATCATTAATTTTTTCATTGGTGATATTTAGCTCCTGCCCAGTATGATAAAGTTAGTTTTAATTAAATTAATTTTCTCTTGCCCTTAAAGGAGCCAGTTTATTTTGGGTCAGAGTTGAATATTGTTTTGAGAGACCTCTATACCCAATCTCTCAGATCCTCAGTTTCTTTGTCTTCAGAACGACCAGGCTGAGTTTGATGGCTCTTGTATTATTTTCATTTTGAAGTTCTGTTTTTCTGATTCTTTAAAAGAACACATTTTAAAATAATAGGAACAGGCTTTTCTTTTTTAAGTCTTTTTCAGGATCGTTTATGAACTTCCTCCTAAGTACAAGTATCAAATCTTGATCTTGAGGTATAATTTCCAGTTACCCTGTGATAGAAGAAGTGTGGACACCTTTTCAGGAAGCAGCGATGAGCCTTGTGGAGCCTTGTGGCCTGTGGGTGCCCTTTCTTCTGACAGCCCAGCCTTTCTGCTGCCCCTGACTAGTCGCTTGTGCTTTGGTCGAATATCCTGTTAATGGAGGTATCTTGAGGGGTCCTAACACCCCGTTTGACATGTGAGTGAGTCTCTGCAATCTGGGGTCTGTTCCCAGGGCTGACAGCTGGTCATGTGACACTACTTCAGGGGAAGCCCAAAGACTGAAGGCCAGGTGGGGTCAGCGAAATCAGAGCAAAAGGAATTCTCTTTCAGGACAACCTAGATGATGGATGTTGCATGTATACAACTAACTGGGCCTAACTCAGTAATCTCCAGTCCTATCCATTAAACTTGACCCCGAGCTTCCCAAGCTGTTTACTTTCATAAGGATATCGTCCTTGGTGCTGTAGTAAGGTAAGCACAGTGATTCTTGTGATCACAGAGACAGTCTGCTTGTGTGCCTGCTGTTTGCTCCTTCCCTTTGCTGCTGGCTCTTTAATCCTACCTGCTGCATTTTATCAGTCTCCATCTTCTGTCCCCAAATCTCTGTCTATTATACCGTGGTGTTCTGTTCACCACTCAATTTAGTCTTATAATTTCCCAAGGAAGGAACAGTTCTCACTCCGTCTGTTAGACCACTGTCACCTCCCATTGAAGTAGATTTGTAACCAGGGTGCAGGTCACCTTGGCAGCTGTGACTGCACCATGAGGTTAATGAATAGGACTGAGAGTACAGTTGTTTTGTTTCTGTTGTGGTAGAATTAGGCTGACAAACCTGGCCAATACGATTGATGATGCTCCTAACATTGCTTTTCAACTGTGCTGCAAATTGCTGGGCGTTTTCTACTAAGAACAATTGTAGGCTGCTCCTGAGCTCTCTGAGGCTAGTATCTATCTGTCACTGGCAGGAGGCTAGCAAGCCTCTCAGTCGTTTGGGTGGGGCAGGGTTGTAACACTTGTTGCAGGTCTAATCCGCAAATGTGGATATGGAGATTGACCCAGTATTCAGTTTTCTCATTGAGGTAACAGCCTTAGTGACAACCTAACTCTAATATCCCTAATATCCAGAATCTAGAGCTTGCTGAAGTTGACAACTACAGCAGGCCTGAAGTTTTATGTGAATCACATCTTTTCAAATGGATCCTTTCAAACAAATGCCCCTTTACATTGAAATGTGTCCAGTCTTACAAAAGCGATCAAATCTGTGGTTATTCAAAGCCAGGCAAACGTAGACTAGAATTCAGTATCATTTGCCAGCAAGATTTTCATTGGGAAATGGGAGCCCGCTGGATCATAACCTTGGTCCTTATGAGCAATGCCAAAGTGGCTCGGCGTCTGATAAATGGCAGTGATAAGCGGGAGCTGCACACACTTGACTCCCAGGGCTCCCAAGTTGCCCAGGCTTCTCCACTATCAGTGCCTCCATCTGCCTGCACAGGTGCAGAATGATGGATTTCCATCGATCGTACCTGCCATTGCCCTGTTCATTAGTCTTTGTATCTTCTCATACTTTGGAAGTTTTTTGTTTCAAAACCATGTAACTGAGGATGAGTGCATTTCACAGCAGGATGAATAGAGTCCTCTTTGTTATATGGTGAATGTTAACTGGAGGTTTTTGTTTTGTTTTTATTTTTGTTTTCTAAATGAAAACTCATTTCACAGAGAGAGGCTGCTCACCCACCAGATGTCTCCATCTCCAAAACAGCCCTGTACTCCCACATCGGGACCTCCGAGGTGGAGAAGCCTGCAAGCCTTCTGTTCCAGCAGCCAGACCTGGACTCTGCACTCCAGGTTGCCAGAGCCGAGGTACTGTGGCTTGTGGCATAGAGAAGGACCACTCTGGCTGCCCTGGGAAGGATATGGTGCCTGTCACTTGTAAATAAGTCTGTATATATATCCACAAAGCCAATGTCTTTGGAGGCACTTCCCTCTGGACTCTTGAGACAAAGATGTGTGCCTCACCGGGGGTTCTGATCTAGACACCATGTTAACAGAGGTGAATGGCTTTGCTTGTTGTATAGCAAAAAGCATACACCTTCCCAGTGGGCATTGGGAGTCTGATCTCTGGTTTGTTTCTGTCTTTTGCTCTGTAAGTTCTCTGAATGTCATTAGGGTTTGTTCTAGAACGTTTCAATGTATTTATTTGACATCTCCTTGATCTGGTCAAATTTGAATTCACTCATTTGGAATCAATCTTTCTCTTCTCCCCGATGCTAGGTCCTCACCAAGGAGAGAGAGGTCTCAGAGTGGAAAGACAAATACGAAGAAAGCAGGCGGGAAGTGATGGAAATGAGGTCAGTTGTGGGACTCGGCCTTCCTGGTCCCTGGGGGATGCTGACCTGTGGCCTGACAGTGATTGCTATTGGTGGGGTCCCCAAATAGTGTCTTCCTTTGGAGAAGTCCTGTTTTCTTTATTTTACAAGGGTAATATTTTTATAAGAGTACTTTAAGTACATCAGTGTTATTAAAACAGTCTGCACATTGGTTAAGGAATGCAATATAATAGAGGTTAACCGAGAGTGGTTTTCCATATCCAGACTGAAACCCTGCAGCTGTGTTATTTTTCAGCCTTTTAACAAACTTTTTTTGCTGGTGATTTAGCTCAGTGGTTCTGCCGCCTGCTTCTCAAGCGCAAGGTCCCTAATTCAATCCCCCATACCAAAAAAATAAAAATAAATTAAAAAATTTTTTTAACTTTTTTTTTTTTTTTTTTTTGGTAGTGAGTGGCTCTGGTTTTTCACCTGCACTGAAAAGTACAGGACATAGTGAGAAGGCCCCTCTGCCTCCCTGGAGAACCCAGAAGTGCTGTTTACTAACTGATAGTAGGGTTTCAGATGTCATCAGCCAGTGTAGCGGCACTGGCATTAGATGGGCCCTGCAGCCTCTGGAGCCAGGCCAAATAAAAATCACACTGTTTTCTAGTTGTTTTGGGCTTGGTACTTAACTCTGTGCCTCACTTTCCTCATCTAAAAATAAGGGTAAATACCTGCCTCAAAACTAGGGCCATAAAGTTGTGAACCGAGGGCCTACAGTCTGACGCCTGGGTTACTTCTTAGCTCTCTACTTTGAAACCCTGGGATCCTGGGGAAGTTTCTGGTTCTTCATGTTCCAGGATCTTCATCAGTGATGCCAGGCACAGTGAGAGTACCATCTTTTGGGGTCACTGTGAGGATGAGCTGGAAATACAGTGTACTAAAGCACTTTTAGATCCTGGTAGCCTCACTGTTCTAAAAGACACAAACCTGTGCCATAATTCTGTGACTCTTGCATGCAACGTTTTGCTTAATCACAAAAAGCATAAGGATCCTTCTGTGTAGGATTGAAAAAGGACCAAGAGGCCTCTGTCACGGGTACCTTCTTGTCCAGGTTGAGGCACTGATCTTGGGATGAAGTTCAAGAAACCAGGGGCAGATGCCCAGTAACTGTGAAGCCTTCAGGCTGCAGAATACCTCTGCATTAATTGTCCCCTTTAACCTCATTGAGTGCCCCCCAGAGAGCCCCAGGTCATAGTCAAGGCTCATCCTGCACCAGGTAGTAAGCGGAGCCCTCAGCACCTGCAAATGACTTTCCAGAATCACACCCCCGCCCCAGGCAGATCAGCAGGACCCAGGCCGCTGGCCCTGAGTCTTTGTGGATCCTGGATCTTTGGCCATTAGCATCTGTTGGTTCTCTTGGGGAACCATGATCCGTCATTTGGTAATGCAGATGAAACTGCATCTTTTTCCAATATTTCTTCTAGAAATTGACTTTGGCGGGAGGGCTGCTCACACCACTCTGCTTTCACTTGAGAGTAGCTAAGAAGCAGGCTTATGAGAAGGGATCTTAGGTTTCTGTGCAGCTGCTATTTGTTGAAACTCCCCAAGAAGTGCTCTTTTAAACCCATCTCCTGCTCCAAAAACACAAGTGAATAAGAAGCTCCTTGGGCCTTGAGGAGCTTCTCTTCCAGTGGAGAACACAGGGCTCATGTGCTACGAGGCCAGATGTAGGAGAGGCTTTAAAAGAACACACAGAGGAAATGTTAAAGTGAAGGAGAAAGCATTTGGAGGAGAGAGCATTTGAGAAAGACCTCGAGAAACTGACTCTGAGGGGTGAAATTAGAGAGGGGCTGTGAACAACATGGATAAGGGTGTAGGGGTGAGAAAGTCAGGGCCCACAAGAAATCATTTGTTCTCACTGAGCCACCGCGTTCCTGAGATGGCTGGGAGGTGGGGAGATTGAGGGAGATCGGGCCCTGGCTGCAGAAAGCTTCGGTCAGTGGGCTGAAGGTTTGGCAGTGATGGGCAGTGGAGAGGCAAAAGGGTTTGTTTGGGTGGGGGAGCAGTGTGTTTAGAAGCTCTCAGGGGTGTGCAGGGACAGTGCAGTGTGAGGGGTGGTCACACAGTTTACATCCAGCTCTTGGGCCCCCGTGGGCAAGTAAGCCTTGGTCCAACACTCTCCCTGTCTCTTCCAGGAAGATCGTAGCTGAGTATGAGAAGACGATCGCACAGATGATAGGTGGGTACCCTGAATTGGTTGCTTCTACCCTGCCGTGAGACTCCCCTACCCAGGGAGGCCTTCGCGAGCATGAAATCCTCAGGAGGAGCGAGAGCAGCTTGGCAAGTGGCTCTGCTCCTGGGTGGGGAGCGGGGACTTGTTGGAACACCTGTCAGGATGTGGCTTAGCATCCTAATGCCTGTGGGGAGCATGGCGGCCACCTCCATAGGCACTATTTGACCCAGACAGGAACTGTCCACCTCGTGGGAAAAGAGATTGAAGTTTGCTCCTGGGATGTTCGGAGGCTTTGGCTTTTGCACATGGAAGAAAATAGGAGTCAAATTCATCAACCCTATTTTAGTTTGGATTCAAGCGACAAAACTGTCACATTTAGCCATTGCCCAGGTGTCCAAGGCAAGGACGGTAGAACCTGTGGCGATTGCCTACCCCCTGCTCTTTCCTTTTGTGATTGTCCTGACCCCATTAACCAATCCAAGCACTCTTTCTTCCTGAGACTGGACACTGCCTCAAAATCAGTCTTAACAAGGCACCCCGCAGCTAGCACTGCAAATTGCTGATAAAAGAAGGCCTCTGGTTATAAGTTAAAAACTGAACCTTCATTTTCTCTTCTACACCATCTTCTCTTTCTTTTTTAATAATGCGAAAAGATCTTTTAGGAGCACCGAGCCCAAGTTTTTACATTAATGATCACTGTTCCGAAGTGATACTATGACTTGGATCATGATCTTTATCTTTCTAGCTATTTAATTTCAGGTTCATGATAATCAGTTTTTTAAAAAAATCTATTTCCCTTAAGGGTTTATGGAGTAGAAACTCCCAAAGCACCGTGGCTATGTTTGAGTTTGACATTCTGCTAGCAAATAAGCTCTCTCCCAAATATTTGGCTTTATGAGTCACATTTCCCCGCTAGCTTGTCCCAAGGTAAATGGAACAGTAACCTCAGTGATGGTGAAGAGGCCATGGAGTGCCTTCCGAAGGAGTTGTTTTTTTTGGTTCTGTTTTGTTTGTGTTTCTGGAGGTACTGGAGATTGAACCCAGGGCCTCTCTGTGCTGCACACACCCCTATCGCTTCAATTTTTTAGTTTGAGACAGTCTCACTTAAATTGCCCAGGCTGGCCTTCCGTTGGGAATCCTTCTGCCTCAGCCTCCAGAATAGCCAGGAGCATAGGATGCACTGTTGCAGCAGGCTCAGAAGAGCTTTAACTATGTTGATTATAATCAAGGCCATTTTGTCCTGAGCTCCACAAAAGCCCAGTTGGTTGTGTCAGCCTCACTGTATGCTTTCTATCATATGAAATGTGTTAAATTAGTTTGAGAGTTTGTGAATACATATAGATGAGATAAAAACATTTTAAAACTCTGGGAGTTGCAAATGCTGGTAAAAGTGATGAGGATAAAGGATTTACAATACTATCTTGGTTCACCAGAGCTTCTGTTTGCAAACAATTAGGTTTGAAAACAAAAGTGTGCAGCAGAATTTTGCTTCCTTTCACAAAATCCATGTGAGGTGACAAACAAGGCCACACCCCTCCTCACCCACCATCTTCCCCAAAGTCGTAAAATAAATTAAGTTTGTAAACCAAGGTACACTGTTGGAGTTGAGCAGACCTTTGGCCTCCTGGAGGCTTGGACGGGAGAATATCGGTTAGCTTACCACAGCTCTTCTGGAAACATCTGAGCAACATGCTTAGAATCCCGCCCGCAGGGATGGTGCACTGGCACATGTCGGAATGGGGATTGCGGGGCAAGAGCTTTGCTCCCAAGAGACGGCTTCCCATGCTTTGCCAGCTTTTCATGCGTAGCTGGCAGATTTGATACAAGTAGACGCTTGAGAGCTAAACAGCGTGAGAAGTGAGAACCTCTTTAGTTAGCATGAGTGGCCAGTCCTTGTGTGGTGGAACAGTTACTAGGCTTTGAGGCTTTCCTCACAGAATATTTGCAGGAGAGAGCAGTCGGGATGTTTTCAGTCTGAGACAACGTCAAGAGCGTGCACAGTGCCATTCCAGCTTGACCCTTGAGAGAACGACAGCTTTCCCTTTCCGCTGACTCCAGGGCTTATGGCCACATAAGCTACCTCCCTCCGAGCACACCTGGTGTGTTAGGCCAGAGGTTCCCTCTCCAGGTGCTGTAGATTCAGCCCTCTCCAGAGTCTAGCTCGGAGTAGGTGATCTCTCTCTCTCTCTCTGCCCCCCATCCTCTTTCCCTGTCCTTTTTGTTGACCACTTTCCCGAGCTTTTCTCATCAGACAGCGGCACGTCCATGGCTGTTGCTATTACAGGTCGTTCATTAAAGCGACTGTACATGTCCTCACAGAACACAGCAGGGGCCTCAGGCATGACTGGGACCGGCTGGAGCTGAGGGTGGACTTACCTTTTTTATAGGCAGATGTCAGTTGCAACACACCCATGAGCCTCGTCTGGGTTTCATTTTTCCCTCTCCCATTTTCACTCACCTAACCAGTGTCCCTCATGGTAGGGGAAACTGAGGCCCTGCAAACAGAACCATGCAGGACCAGAGTGAACATAAGCATCCTGAAATTGGCATGAAAGCAGCCCCCCTGGCTGGCTTCTTCTGACTCTGTGGCTCTGTATAGTTTCCCAGATGCTCCCCACACGTATGGCACTGGTCCTGCTGTCATTGTTCCTTCTCATTAAATGTGTCTTATCAGATTCAAATACTGGCTATTTAGAATTTAGGAAAAAAGAGTTCTGTGCTTTCTGCATTCCAGGTTGTGCAACTGATTTTTTTCTGCTTTCCTAACAACTGCCCTGATTATCTGTTTTGCTTCCATTTTCTGTTGCTTCTTGCCCTTTGCTTGCAAAACAAACAGGCAAGCCTGGTAAGTAAATGCTTTTCCCCTAATTTTCCCCATTGCAACCCCTGTTTGTGTTTTGTTTTTCTTGTTTTTGCTTAGATGTATTTGCTGCATTCCCCACATAATTTAACAGTGTTTTGCTGAAAAGGCCAGAGAAGCCTTCTGTGGCATTGTTCTGTTGTTGAGTGCAGCCCTTTGCTGGTCTAAGGCTGATTTCCTGATGTGAAGAACCTGACTGCACTGGTCATGTATAGAAAGATTTGCACACCATTCTCATCACCTCAGTCTCCCGGGAACTGGGCAGTCCTATTTTTGAAAGGGTTTGGTGGGGAAGGAAACCTGAGGCAGGAGACGTCTTGGATGCAGGAAATCAGATGTACTACGTTTGATAACTGGCTCCTTTCCCCTCACTGGGTGAAATGTGTACGTGGTGGTGGCAGATCAGTGGAGATTATGCTGGGAACTAAGGAAGCACCTAAGATGCAAAGAATAAAAGCAGGCATTTGCTTACTAATAAGACATGGAAATGGCCTTTTTAAGGAGCTTGGGTGGAGCAAGCAGCTTGCCGGAGACTGTTCTCTGTGTTAAACATCCCATCCCCCACTGTTGCACAGGTTTCGGGGAGATTCACAGGGTTCATCATGGACTGGTGCTGATGATAGTGGGTCCCTGGTACCAGGCTCTTTTTAGGTATTGAGGGTTGTGTATACAGTCTCATTTAATCTTCCCCAGGTGAGACAGAAATAGCGTTATCCCTGACTTCAGGTGAAGAGACTGAGACTCAGTGTTCAAATCTCCTGCCCAAGGTCACACAGGCGGAAAGCACCAAGAGCCAGGATTCAAACCCGGGCGATGAGATTTAGGAACCTCCTGACCATTACCCTGTGTGGCTCCAGGCTGTAAAGTGGTAGGAGCCCTGTGGTCACAGAGGCAGGGATGGAGGGACATCAGGCATCTTCTCGGCCACCAGCATCTTCATCGTGAAGGAGTAATTCCAGGTTCAGGTTCCTGGCCCCAGACAGTCGGGGTGTGATGCACAGGCTGTGCACCAGCCTTGCAGCTGACTTGAACGCACACTCACTCGTGACCTATATTTGGGCCCCTAGAGGTGAGGACTTTCAAGCAGTTTCAATTTAGCAATTGTGCCCATTCTGGTTGTGACCCCACCCAGCAAGATAGCAAGATGTCCGAGGATCAGGGAAAAGAACCAGGCCAAATTTCCCTTCTGTTACAGGAGTTAGTGTTATCACGGGAGCCCTGGGTAAAAATGTGGTCATGATCAGGGCTTTGGGTTTGGGCTTGGGTTCTGCTGCTTCCTCATTGAACAGTGACTCTTATTTCACCGTCCATAAAAGAAAACAAGAAAGTCTCCACCTAGATTATTATATAAGGTTTACCTGCTTATTCATTGTGTAGACTATGTAGAGGTATCACTGGGGCACAGACATTCTTCATGCCTGGGACAGAGCAGTGGGTAAAACAAGGAATTCAGCAGACAAACATAAATCCAGACCCTGGTGCCTGCCCTTGAGTGTGTGTACAGGGGAGAGTGGGTAGCCAGCACAGGCACACACACACAAGCATGTGCACGCACAAGCTTCGTATAGTGGTACAGAGGGGCTCCTGCTCCAGTGAGAAGAAAGGACTAGAGACTGTAGAGGGATCGCATTCCATATCTTCCTGGAGTGACAAGGGATCAGAGTTTTGAGTGAATGGGGTAGCTCTGCAGCTGCCTGGGTATAAAGGCCATCGGGGTAAAGCAGAGGGGCCAGGGAGGATATAGAGCAGACTGTGTGGAGGAGGAGTCTAGACTTAAGTCCTAGCACAGGGGTAAGCACTTTGGGTTTTCTGAGCAGGAGTGAGGTGGCCTGGTTTGCACTTCAGGAAGTTCATCTGCTGCTGGGTAGTGGGTGAGAGCATTCACTGAGCAGAGCTGTTAGCACAGAGCTTGGTATAGGAAAGTTGGTGTGCTATGGCCGTCATGGTCACCAAAGCAGAATCAGTACTCCATACTGGACCTACAGCCATGCATCACTGGAGTCCGAGCTTGCCGCATCAAAGAAGCTTTCAGTGTGAAATGGGATTTAGGGGAGAAAGTTTTGTGAGCTGTCTGTTTATGGGATGTTTTAAGGGTAAAGAAATCTTTTTCTCTTCCAGAGACTGTCTGTCTTGCTAACCCTTAGAGGCCCTAACCCCTCTAGCCTAGCTCACAGCACCACGAAAATGCAGTAGTGATGTCTTTATCTGCTGGATGTGTTTGCTGTCAGGGAAAATAGAGTCACTGGGGTCTCCAGTAGATTTATAAGAGGCTTGATCAGTTTAAAGGATGACGACTAATTTCCACCTGTACAGGATCAGGTCGGGGATGCTAGGGCCATAGGTTTTGTCCCTTTAGAGAGCATCTGTAAGGGCTCTGGGGAGTGGGTCCATTCCAGGGGGAAGCCAGGGCTTGAGATGCACCTACTGTTTGGGCTGAGTTGCATCTGAGGCCTTGGCTGGCCCCAGGGACTCTGTGTGGATTTCTGGTGCCATCATTTGGCTCTTTCTCTCTCCTGCCAGAGGATGAACAGAGAGAGAAGTCAGTGTCCCACCAAACAGTGCAGCAGCTGGTCCTGGAGAAGGAGCAGGCCCTGGCCGACCTGAACTCTGTGGAGAAATCTCTGGCTGACCTTTTCAGGAGATACGAGAAGATGAAGGAAGTCCTAGAAGGTTTCCGCAAGGTGTGTCTGCATTAGTGGGCAAAGCAGGAGGCTGGATGTGTGTGGTAGAAAGGTGGGAGCTCTTTGGAAGAGTCTAGTGGGGACTCCAGGTCCATCTTGAGCTGACTGTGAGGAGAGGGTCCTCGAAGGCTCGGGAGGGAGTCATATTTGTCCTTCTGGAGTCCTACCTGCGTCCTAGAGTTTGTGGGGTTCCTGATACTCCTGGGCACTTCTTGTGAGCCTGATCCCTGTCCTCTGTCATGTCAGAATGAAGAGGTGCTGAAGAAATGTGCACAGGAGTATCTGTCCCGAGTGAAGAAAGAGGAGCAGAGGTACCAGGCCCTGAAGGTGCACGCAGAGGAGAAACTGGACAGGTAACGCATCCCTTACCCAGCTGGGAGTCCAGTGGTTTCTGCCATGCTTTGGAAAGGGCAGCCGATCCATGTGCATTTCTTGGTATGACCCGTGCTAAGCGTACACTTTCAGTTAGTATCCACTGCGATAAAGGAGGCACATATGTTGTAATGTTTAGGGTACCCAGAGCACTCCACCTTGTGGGAATTGGGGACGGAGGTCTTACCAAGTGCCTATGGGTGGGTCGTGGTTGATGGGATTGGAGCCAGTGCCTTCTCCTGCCCAGAGTTGAGAAGAGGGAGATAGAAGGCACCTGTGGTAATCTGTGACAAAGGATGATCATTTTGAGCCTTCTGTTCCCACAGGGCCAACGCTGAGATTGCCCAGGTTCGAGGCAAGGCCCAGCAGGAGCAAGCTGCCTACCAAGCCAGCCTGCGGAAGGAGCAGCTGCGAGTGGATGCTCTGGAAAGAACACTGGAGCAAAAGGTGACAGGACAAGAATAGGGGCTCCTGTGGGTGGGGCTTGGGCTGTCCTGCCACTGGCCGGGCCAGCAGATCAAGAGAGGTGGAGCTAAGAAGCAGCGCCAGCACAACCGTGGGACTTCTGGACAGGTTCAGTCTTCATGAGCATACCCATATCTCCCTCTGGAGGGTCCAGTTTAACACCAGCCCTGAGGTGGGCTTCCTTTCTTCTTTTTCTGAAATCCTCTGGGTATTTACTTCCTTTTTTCATTCCTCTTCAATATTCATTCATTTGTACAGTATTTGTTAAGCACCTGTAGTGTGCCAGGCAGGCGTAGTACTTGATTTGAACCTCTGCGTCCAGGGTGCCTGTGAGGGAGTGGATGGGCTGATGCAGAAAATGGATTGTGTCAGGGCCAGAAGGGCCGAGATAGCCTCTTGTTCCACAGACAGGAGGCAAATTCCTGAGGTCACTCATCTTGTCCTGATTTCCATCTGACTCAGCCACTGTGTACCCCACTCCCTGGGTGTCCAGATGAGGAGCTCCACCAGATCAGGAGTGCTCTAAGAGCACTGAGCCAGAGAGGCTGAGTCTGTCTGTGGGGCCAGCCCCACTCTGCTGTGTTTCTTTAATGGGGGAGGTTTCTAGACAGGTAGCCTCCTTCCAGTTTACTGCTGTGCCTTAGGGTTCCCCTGGTCATCAGAGCTCAGCAGCCTGGGGTAGTGGTACATTTTGTCCATGTAGGCATCGATGGGCACTTGGCATTGGTAGGCAGGTGAGCCTCAGCCTGTCTGCCAGGTGGTTTCTGCTACCCAGGAAACACCCCGAGGTTCCAGCCTGGCCTAGAGAGGCATCTTGGCCAACAGCAGTGACCTCTCCTCTGGTCATAGACTTATGTCTCAGTTATTTAGATGATATCAGGGATAGAGCCCTTGGGAATTAAGAAGTTTGCCTCCTCACCCCACTTTGTCATCCATATTGCTGTGGGCAGCACTTGTCCTTCACCTGAGTTTCTAGGTTCCCTTCAGCTCTGCAAACATTTTAGATGTGAATTTCCCCGAAGTCCAAGTCATTCCCCACTTGTCATTGTGTCAACTACTGTGTTCCTCGTTCTCCAGAATCCAAATAGCTGGGAAACGCATGGTAAAGATCACTGTTTTCATTCTACCTTTTCACCTTAGGATGAAAAAGGCTAATGGTTACCAGGCAATTTAATAGCTGAATTGCATTTTAAAAGGCGAGAGCCTAGGTCTTGCCAAATATGCCAGTTATGTTGAGCTGAGCTCCTTCACGGGGTAGTTTGCTTGGTAGTGGCTGATGATGTCAGGATCCTGAGCTTGGAAATCCTCCAGGCTTCAATATCTAATGGGTCTGCTCATGCTTCTCATAGGAGTCACCTTGCATTTCGTTTAATAAGTATAATAATAAAGCTATAGAGTCACCAGATCAACTTGAGTTTGCATTCCAGGCTGGCCACATCTGACTGGCTGTGTGACCCTAAGTAAAATGCTCCATCTTTCTGAGCCTTGGTATCCTCACTGAAAAAATGGGGTTTTTAGTGGCTTCCTTTAAATGTCTACCATGAGAACCCAGACTGTCTAGCATGATGACTGGCACATAGCAGGCGCTCTGATAAGATAAGCAATCATCATCAGCAGCCCAGCAAGGCAGTAGTGGGACTGAAAGTGACTTTAAGATTCATGGTCAGGACCGATCCCATTCAGAGCCTTGTCTCCCAGCAGGCCCTCTGAAGCATGACCTCAGAGTGTACATTCTACACAGGAAGTAGGTTAGTTGGTAGTATGTAGACTAAGCTTTCCCCTCTACTATAAAAGGCTTGTTTCCCTGCCTGGCTCCATGACGCCGGGCACCAGGAGTCCTACCCTCGAAACAGAACTCGTGGCTCTGACCTGGAACATGTCCCAGAAAGTCCCGAGGTTTCCAGGGAAGAGCCTCAGTACCGCCCCAGGGACAGGTTTTTGCTAAAGAGTCACCTCCTATGGAGACCTTGAGGAAATGCAGGCTGCAGAGTGTACCCAGGATGCCAGAAAGACTTGTCCCCTTGGAGAGAGCCATTGGCAACTGCTGTGTAGTTAAAGCAGGCCAGCCTGGGGCCTCGGTGTCTAGCTCACTGAGTCATGTCCGCATGAGGAGAACATGTCACTGGATCCCCTGTCACACAGCCTGGGAAATAACTGCTACACAAACATGGGATTGGTTGCCCTTGATTGGTCTTCAAAGGGTGTGCAAGGGCGCGTGAGGAACATTTTCAAGCTACCTTGCATCTACTATGCCTATTTCACGACACCCATTTCCATGGCAGCACCTACAGGGTATCTCCCAGATAATGCAGTGTCCCTAACCAAATAGGATTGCCTGACCCTTCTTGTGCAGTTTCCCCAGAAACCCCAGACCATCATTATCCCAGAGCTTGTCGTTCATAGGTGAGTAGAGAACAAGAACTGTACTGGGTACCCCTGTCCTGTGCGCTGGTCACTCTCCTGGGGACTTTGTATTTCTGGCCACATTTACTTGTCAGACAGCTAGAGATGTGTGCTAGAGCAGGTGGTGGGGTCCCAAGTCCTTTCCCTCTCTGCTTTAGACCACTTTAGGGGGACCACGAGGCGGGGCAGACCTCATCCCCGCAAAGTTCTCAGTGCCTCTTCCTCCTTGTCTTCACTTTCAGAATAAAGAGATAGAAGAGCTCACCAAGATTTGCGATGAACTGATTGCCAAAATGGGGAAAAGCTAACTCTGAACCAAATGCTTGGACTTGACTGTTGCGTGCAATATGACCACTGGCACACTGCCGTCCCTGGGGTTACACGGACAGGTTCTGTTTTCACTTTTCGTATGCACTACTGTATTTTCTTTCTAAATAATGTTTGATTTGATTGTATGCAGTACTGAGGAGACTATCAGGATTTCTTGCTATTGGTTTGCATTTTCCTAGTATAATTCATAGCAAGTTGACCTCAGAGTTCCTGTATCAGGGAGATTGTCTGATTCTCTAATAAAAGACAAATTGCTGATCTTGGCCTTGCCCTTTGTACACGAATTCCCAGGGTGAGCAGCTTTTGATTTAATATGAACATGTACAGCGTGCATAGGGACTCTTGCCTTAAGGAGTGTAAACTTGATCTGCATTTGCTGATTTGTTTTAAAGAATGCATGTTTCAAGTAAAATCTTCTATTGTAAATAAATTTTTTTCCTTTGGATCTTGGCAATGAGTGTGGTTGTGATTTATTTTCTAGGAAGGGTTGAGTCTTTTCTTGCTTTTGTTAAAGAATATCAGATTTGGCCTTTTGCTCTTTGGCTCGTTTGTCTGGGCTCACTTCTTTGTCTGTTGTTTTAAATAACATTGCCTTCATTATTGTGGTGGAGTTTCTAAATGAAGCTAATGAGAAATATTGACTTGCAGCTTTAATTAAGGGGATGCATTGGATTAGCTTAGGTTTCCTTTTTATAAAGTGCCTGTAGGAGACAAAATCTGTTTCTTTTTATTGGGCCAAAGAAGTAATGGGCTGTTGCTGTTTCAGTTCAGTCCCTTAATGTGTGAGGATCCATCTTGAAATGTTGTCCCTTCCCTTCTAGCCATTCCAGGGGGAGGCAGGTAATTAAGGCGCTTAGCCAGTGCCTGCTGTAAACGCCTTCCGTGCTCTGGTCTTGCTCAGGGACCTCACGTGAAGGGTGGGTGAATGCAGGGACTGAAAGTCAGAAAGGTGTACATGTGGGTTTTTCCCCCCAGGGTTTCCATAACAAATCACCCCAGTGTAATAGCAGTGTAACAGCAGGAATGTTTTCTTAGAGTTCAGGTTGAAATTATTGGAGAAGTGGGTTCTCTCTGGAGACTGCGAAGGAGAATCTGCCGCCTGCCTTTCTCCGCTTCCGGTGGTTGCCACCGGCCTTGGCATTCCGCAGCTTGTATATGCCACCTTCCTTCCCTGCCTGTCTCCCCATGGCCTTCTCCTCTGCCTTTGTTCAATTCTCCCTCTCCTTTCTTACATGAATACCCACGATTGGACTTAGCGCCCGTTCCAGATCTTGAATGGTCTCATCTGCATATCCCCAATTACCAGAGGCCCTGTTTCCAGATAAGGTCACATTCACAGGTAGCAGGATTGGAGTCTGGATGCTTCTTCATGGGGGACACATGGGTGCCAGTGGGTACGTAGTAGAGGTTTTGATCAGACAGAGCACCTCTGAGCCCCTAATGGCCTTCAGCTCAGCTCCCTCTTCCTGGCCCAGCCCCAGTGGCTGTGGCCTCCTCCACTGACTGGGCAGACCTTAGGCAGCCTTAGTCATGGGGCGTAGGGTAGGGTAGGGGTTGCCTTTGTGACTTAGAAGGTGGATGAAGGTCAGGTGACCCAGTCGGCACCGAGAGAAGTAGCTGTGGGCGTGCGTGGCCTCTGAGAGTGTTTCATTTCTGCTGCACTTGGGCTCCTCCAGCCACGCAGGCCTCTGGTCCCACCATCACCCTCACTGACAGGCACCTGAGCCAGAGCAAGGGACCACCCTCCCTCCCTCTGGCCAGCACCCTTTGCTCACTCACCCGTGCTCAGCCTTCTCTGTCCTGCCCCAGGTTCTGGCCTCCACTGCTCTCTTAGAAGCTTTTATTTTTATTCAAATAAAACATTTTCATTGCTTATAAAAAGTCAGAACTGTAGGTAAGAGGATGTGATGGTTGATGGATTGTGCCAATTGGAATAAGAGAAACTCCACTAAATTGGCTCAGCACTTCCACAGCCTAGGGCGGCTGGTCACCTGGACGGCGTAAGGGGAAATGAAGAAGGAAGGCTCGCCTCTGTTTTTCTGGAGGAGCTCCAGTCTTGGCCTGCTCCTTGGACGTCGTGCAGGCTCTTCAGCTTCTGGCACAGGTCCTTCGGGCTTCCGTGGGACGCTTCAGCCGTCTACCGCACACCGATAAGGACTCCCAGCAGACGCCGCGCCAGGGAGCTCCGGAACGTCTTCCGGATCCTTCAGTCTGCAGCGTGCAGCCGGACCCTCTGGGCTCTTCCACACCTGACTGTGGGTGGCCACTGTAAGCCCGTCTTGTAAATTCTTACCTACTTGTGTATCTTGTATTACATCTGTTTCTCTAGTAGGCTCTGATTGGGAGAGCCACTCATCATCTCGAGATCGAGAAGCTTTTGATGCTTTTTGTACTTTTGTTTACCTTTTTTTCTTCATCTATGAAATGTATTATTTCAAGATCATTTGGAGTTCTGCAGTGGCAGGGTACACAGCCATCTGCAGGCATCCTGTGTGCCATTTGTTAACGTTTTCCCCACCTAGTCCAGCAATCTGACACTTACAGCTGTTCCAGCGAAAACGACCACGCTACGAAAATGTTCACATTAAGAGTACTTCAGTAGCTGACGACAGAAAGGGCGAGCTCACACTCCCATCTCCCTTGGTCCGGATCAAGCAGGGAAACCTAGTTTTTAAAGGGAAAAACCACGCAGTGGTGTATCACGATCGCATCTTTGAGCAGGCACAGGGGTACAGAAGCAGATTGCAAGTTAATAGTAAAATTCAATTTTGGGATCCGGCAGGAAATTCCTATCTTTATGGTTTAGGGCTGCAGTATAACATGTCCTGTCCTTTGTTCTTAACCACAAGGTAAGTTAATGTGCTGGTTAATTTATCACTTTGAACAAGCAGTGTGGGGAGGAAAAAGGATAAAAGTTCAGGCTCAGGCTGTTGGGGGCATTTCTGTTTAACTCACTTCACTGACCATCAAGTTATAGAGTAAATTGTGTGTAGGGAGGGAATTTGCAGTCCTGGGGACCAAGCCCAGGGCACTCTACCACTGAGCTATATCCTCAGCCCTTTCTTAGTTTTATTTTGAGACAAAGTCTTGCTAAATTGCACGGTTGGCCTCCAGTTTGTGCTTCTCCTGCCTCAGCCTCCTGAGTAGCTGGGATTACAGGCATACACCACCATACCCAGTTCAAAAACATTATTTTGGTAAAATTATTTGTATTTAGGTAGACACGTTCCAAATGTCAACAAAAATAGCTGCAAGTTTTATTCTTTTTGCAATAAGAGTGATATTCAGTTAACAATTAGTTTATATAAGCTGCATCAAACAACTACAGATAAGGGCTGGGGGTGTATGTAGCTCAGTGGCACCCCACCTGCCTGGCAAGCACAAGGTCCTGAGTTTGAGCCCTGGTTCCACACACACACACACACACACAAAAAAAGAAAAGAAACAACTACAGATGAAAAAGAGACCATCCCTACATACCCTGTATATAACCTGTCTGTGCATCAGCAGGAACCTGCTGAAAATTTCCACACTAGTTACATCCCCCATACTGTACCAGGCCGTGGCTATTGAATATACCACCAGGGAAAGCTATCTAAAGACATGCTCAGTGATACATGAAGCATACCACACCCCCCAAAAAAGACTGTACAGGTTAAAGGCAAGCTGTATCCAGTCTTACAGTTCAATATTCTCTTTAAAATGATTGAATTTTATACAGGATGTTATATTACAGACACAAAAAAACCCTAGAATCAGCTTATCTTCACCTTCCTCCTAGCTTTCTACAGCCTTTGCAAGTTTTAAAAAAATATGTCAGGCTTTCCTTTAGCTCAAGAATATCTGTTTTGGATTTCTCCTTCAGCCCGTGTTTAGTTATTCTTTTCTCAGGGAGGCACAGCCACTCAGTGCCAGTCAACTCTCACTTGCCTGGGCGCTCTCTGGAGCCCAGTGTGCTGCAAACTGACCAGTTTTATATCGGTAAATACAGCCATTCATTTTAAATGGCTCCATTGCAACCATTGTATCCAAGCCCCCCTGGTCCCCTTGGGAACGGGGAACATTGTATGGCTTTCCACGTGTTGCTGTCATTGTGCTGTGTGAGTGCCCTTGTGTACATTTATGAATCTTTTCCTTTGGCCAATCCTGCAAGTGGTTCGCCTGGCTTACAGGTGTTGCTGCCTTAACCCAACACCACTGGGAACACCGGCTTCCTTGCAAATTGAGTTTACTACTTGCAGTGAGGCAGGACACACGCCAGGGGGAGCCCTGAGGCTGTGTAGGAAGGGGTTCTTGGGAAGGTATTACAGGATTTGGACCAGCAGTAGGTGGTTTCGGGGGAGGGGTTAATGCTTTGCTCCATATTGGAAACTGTCTGGGAGGGACCGGGCAGTTTTAAGACTGGCCTCTCACTGAGTTGTTAGATCCACACTTAGCAAGGTCAAGCTGCAGTTGCGAAGGATGCAAGATCAAGAGGTGCTTGGCCCTTTCTGCGTTTTCCATAATGTGCACGTTCTGTCTGTGTTCTGACCTTGCTTGTGGTGTGGTCTTGTTTGTCTTGATCCACCACAGCCCTAGTGCTCGGCCTATGCTTGTGTTCTGTGGCAGTGTTTACGGTCAAGGCCTGGCTGTGAATTCCCCACCGACTTCTGGAGTTCAGATACTGTCTTGTTCTCAAAGGACATGCGAGAGCCCAGCTGATGCCTTGAAGAGCTGCACTTCCCTTGGTGCTGGGGATGGAACCCAGGGTCCCCTGCGTGCTAGGCAAGTACTCTGTTCCTGAGCCACACCCCAGCCCAGATATGCACGTTTTTAATTTGGGAAGCTTGCTGCTGGTGCTGTACCTGTAGGGAGCCTCTCTCCCTCAGTGAATTATTCCCTCTGAGGTACCTGAGTCGTCTTTGCTCGGTGACCACAGCCAGGAATTCTGCTCTTTCCCCCATCCTCCGTCAGCGTGCTTCACTGGGGTGATGGAGGGCTCTTTCCATTCATGACATTCACCCTGGAATCCTTTAAGGGCTGAGTCAGGGTCAACCAGAGGTATGATGTGTGCCCCTCTCCACAAGAGGTTAGGACGAGATGACCATGTCCTCTTCCTTCACTTCCCAGGGTGTTTTGGCAGGAAGTGGGAAGGAAAGCCACTGCCAGCAACTGCACCTGGTGAGGAGCTCTGCCACCTCTGGCTGTGTGATCTGGGTAGGTCACTTAACCTCTCTGGGCCCAAGTGCTCATGTCTGTACTTTCCCATAGGTGCTCTTGGGAGGAAGGCCTGGCTTCCAGATCCATAAGGGTTGAGATAGGCCTCTTTTCCTTCTCTGTCACGTACACACTTGCTCTTGAGGTGGCTACCAAGGACTGTTTATGTCATTTTGTTTTGCTGATCAGTACAAAGAGCAAGAGGATGAGGCACTTAGGCCCTGTCCAGAGATCCCCAGCAGCTTAGAGATTCTCTGCATCTCAGGAACTGCAGTTTGCAACGACAGCTAAGCCCATGACTTAAAAATGATACTTTCTGAGGAACGTGGGGGGTGGCAGGAGGGAGGTGCTCCCTGATGACTGCTGGTAAGAGATATGCCCTGTCCACAAGGGCAGGATAGGGTGGGATCATGGGTGATTTCTATTAAAGTCTGGGACTCTATCCCTTGGGTGTGAGATCTTAGGGGCCCGAGGCAGAGCCAAGGAGCAGCTCCTCAAGGCATCATCGGATCTTAACTTCCACCAGGTGTTAACAAGCCAGTAACCTTAGCAAAACATCAGACTTGAGGATCAATGGAACAGATTGGAAGATGCAGAAACAATCCCATACACACTCAGCCACCTCGTCTTTGACAAAGGAGCCAAACACCCTCACTGGAAACCTTTATTTAATACATGGTGCTGGAAAAACTGGATTTCCACATGCTGAAGATTAAAACAAGAACCCTATCTTTCACCAGGCACAAATCTAAAACTTAAATAGGTCAAAGACCTGAACATTAAAACAGAAACATTAACTGTGCCAAAAGATAGATTAGGTAGAACTCTTGAAGACATTGGTGTAGGCAGACTTTATAAACAAAACTCCACCTGCACAGGGAACTATCAATCAATAACAGATCTCATCATCTTACTAAAGAGCTTTTGTGCAGCAAGAGAAACCACCAATGGAGTGAAGAGATAACCCAGTGTGGAAAAAAATTTTGCTAGCTTTCCCTCAGACAGAGGACTACTATCTAGAATATATAAAGAAATTTAAAAAGAATCAGACTGGGGATGAGGATTTAGCTCAGTGGCGCTGTACCTGCCTCACAGCCACAAGGTCCTGAGTTCGATTCCTAGTACTGAAAAAAAAAAAAGACCCCCCCGCAAATGTAAAGACTCAATCCAAAAATGGGCATCTGAAATGAATAGACACTTCTCAGATGAGGAAGTCGAATCAGCAAATAAATACAGGGAAACATGTTCAACATCGTTGGTCATTTGAGGGATGCAAATTAAATCAGTGTTGGGATTCCAGCTCCAGAAAGAATGGCTATCATCAAGAAATCAATGAGTAACATACGCTGGTGGGACTGTGGAGAAGAAGAAACCATTCTCCACTTTCGGTGGGAGTGTAGACTGGTGCAACCACTGTAGAAATCAGTGTGGAGTTTCCTTTAAAAACTAAAGCTAGAGTTTCCACTTGGCCCAGCTATTCCCTTTCTTGTTATCTTCCTGAAAGAATTAAAAGCACCCTACCACAGCAATATGTGCACACCCATGTTTGTAGCAGCACAGTTAGAAACAGCCCAAATGCCCATCAACTGATGAGTGGCTAAAGAAGATGTGGGTTTTTTATACAATGGAGTACTACTCTGAGGTAAAGAAAGATAAACTTGAGACAGTCACAGTTAAGTGGATGCACCTTGAGACCACACTCGAGGGCAAAAACATCAGACACACATGCTTAAATACCAAATTACTTCTCTGGTGTGAGAAACAAAGTCTAAATGAGGACCAAAATGTATAACAGATATTGTGAAATAGGAAGATGTTCAACTAGGTAGAGGAAATAAGGGTGGCGGGGTGGGGGAGAGGAAAGGAGGGTGAGGAAAGTGAAGATGAAAACAAAGCTTTTGTAAATAAGGTGAAGAGGGGTTCAAGGGAGGGTATGGGAATTGGATAAAAAAGATACATTATGTACAGGTACAAATTCGCTGTGATGAATATGATATGTATAACTAAAATGTACCAGTAAACAATAATAATAATAATAATAATAATAATAATAGAAAAAAGCCAGTAACCTAGTACTTGGGAGGCTGAGGCAGGAGGCTTGTGAGTTTGAGGCCAGCCTGGGCTACACAGTGAGTTCGGTCTGACCTGGACTACATAGCAAGATCCTGCCTCAAAAAACTAAAGAACAAAACAACAGAGGAGGTAACAGGAACAGTAAAAGCTGCCTGCATTATTGGCAGCTGTTCCTTTCACTTAATCCTTGGCGCTGGTAAGATTCTGAAGTTTCTTTTTCTTTTTGGAAGTATGAACCCCAAATATAGTTAAGAATTTCTGCATCTTCGAACATTGTCATATTCTTATTATTATGGTTTAAAAAAGCAACAAAATTGGTTATCTGTTACGGTTTAGATCGAGGTGGTCCCCGAAGACCCCAGGTGCTCATAGGCAGGGTGTTTGGAGGGCATTTGCTTTATGAGCGTATGCTGAGGGGGCTGATGGGAGGAGAGGCCTGGTTGGAAGAAGTAGAAGAGGCAGGTCAGAGGGGGTGTGACCCCAAGGGTTTATCTCCCATTCTGGCTCCGCCGTCTCCACTCTCTGCTCCCTAGCCACCATGACATGAGCAGCTTTCCTCCGCCCAGACCCTTCTACCATGCTGTTTCTGTGTTTAAGCTTGGCAAACGAGGACTGAAACTTGAAACCGTGAGCCAGAATAAACCTTTCCTCCTTTAAGTTGCAGGTATTGGGTACAGCCGGGCGGAAAGGTGACTAAGAAGACACCATCATAGCTATTTGTAAGTGTACAATATTATTAGTTATATGTAGCAGTATCGAGGATTTTCTCATCACTGAAATTCTGTATCCACTGAGCAACACTGCCCTTCTCTCTTCCCTTAAGGCTCTGATACCTACCCATTTCCTTCCTCCTGTTTGGTACGCTGGCCGCTCCTCCTGAATCGCCTACACTATGTGTGTTGAAGGTGTACAGAAGCACCTCAGGCTTTCTGCATTGTTTTTTCCTTTTCTTCTTTTTGATAGTTTCAGATGATTTGTCTTCTACTTCACCTATTGTTCTGCTTGATCACGAAGGCTGCTGCATTCCTCTAATGAATTTTTGATGCATTTAGTATATTCTTCAGTCTTAGAATTTCTTCTTCTTTCTTTTTTACAGTTGTCCGTCTTCACTGATATTTTTGTTTTGTCCATGTAACATTTTTCTGATTTTGTTTAGTTGTGTTCTCTTGTAGCACACTGAGGATTATTTTTAATTCTTTTTCAGTTAACTAACTCATCAATCCCCATTTCTTTTCTTTTGTTTTGTTTTTTGGTACCTGGGATGGAACTCGGGTCCTTGTGCTTGCGAGGCAGGCCACCGAACCACTGAGCTAAATCCTTGGCCCTAATCCCCATTTCTTTATGGCCAGTTTTTGGAGGTTTATTCTTCAGACTAGGCTATGTTTCCTTGTTTCTTCATGTGGTTTCTTACTTTTCTTTGTTGCTACTTGTTCATCCAAGCAAACAGCCACCTCTCCCAGACTTGATATATAGAAACCTTTACCAGTGGACCTGGCTAATGATTTTGGGAGCCTCACAAATCTTTTTTGGGGATGTATCTTCTCTGGGTGTGAGCATATCATTTTCCGATTAGAAAGGGTTCCCAGGTCCTTTTCAGGAGCTTGCAATCTCCTGTTCCCTGCTGCCTGTATGTAGTACTGCAGCTGCTCTGCTGCTACAGCAAGACACTGAGCCCTCTTCTGTGCCAAGCAAGCCGAAGGGATCCAAAACATGCCGATTTTGTATCAGGTCACCAAGTCCGGCGAGACAGGAAGCGGTCCCTCGGGAGTCTTCCCCTGAGCTGGAATGCTGGATGTATATTCCCCCTTCTCCTTCCCTCCCAGAGGGCTGGACCACTGGACATCCTTCACATGCTGAGCACTACCAGCTGAGAGCTTTCAGGAAAGCATGCTAGAGCTATTCCCAGGTATGTATATGTGTTATCTTTGCCTTTGGCTCTTAGCTCAGCTCCTGAGAGTTCTGTGAGGTATGTATGTGTTGAGGACTCTGAGTGTGGGCTGCAGGCCCTGGATCCCAGAGCTCACACACTGCAGAAAGTGATGGATTCTGTCAAGGTCAGGGTTTCTGTTGAAGAGACGGTGGGCCCTGACGCCTGGGATGCTTCCCCATCACGGCCACTAGGGGGAGCCTAAGACCTTGTTCTCAGCAGGTTGCTCTACAAGTGGCACCCAGAGGGCAGGTGGGATGTCAAGAGGGTCCCAAGTAATGATGCATTTCAGACTTCTTAATTGAAATCTTACACGAGGTCCTATGTTCCAGGGGCAATTAGTGGAGAAATTTTGGGAAGGGAAAGGGAAGAAGCATAGAGGGCAGATCTGTCTACTTGTATATAGATGTCTGCTGAGGTACGCGCGCACGCACGCACGTACACACACACATACGTACAAGATGGCCTTGGCACTGGGCTGGGGGGAAGCAACAGCCCCGACTCAATAAGGGGAGTGGAGCTCACTGTGATGCTTGAGGAAACCAGAGACACAAGATGAGAGATGAGTGTTTGCGTCTGCATGGCCGTCTTCGTGAGCTCCGGCCCTCTGCTGAGGAGGAGGCCTGGCTGCAGGGCCTGCACCTCCAGCCGCTGACGTCTAACGCAAGGCTGGCTGACTGCCATCTGTCCTTGCATCACAAAACATAGCGTCCCCACTGAGTCTCACCAATGTGGGAGGAAACATGTAATGCAACATTAAGTGAACAACCAGGTAAAAAAATGAGTAAGAACTCATTTAAATAAATAAATACACATACATGTGCGTGTACAACATATTGATTTGCTATTAATGATAATTAACTTCGGTCTTAGAACTCAAATTATTTTTGATACCAGGGATTGAAGTCAGGACCTTCCGCTTGTGAGGCAGGTGGCAGCACCACTGAGCTAAATCCCTGGCGCCTCGAGTTATTTTTATTGTCAAAATATTTTGTCTCTGAATTTTTGCCCATAAATGTGTTGCATTTTTTAAAGAAAAAAATCCAACAATACTTTTCACATGTGAGAGAGGACGCAGAGCCTGGCTCAGGACAGGCTCTGTGCCTGGCCCTGCAGCTTCTGTGGCCCCTGCAGCAGCTGTGGGGGACCTGCACCCTTCCTGCTGCACCCTTTGCTCGGGGGAGGGTGGGCAGGCCCAGAACTAGGGCTTCTAACTGCCTTCCCTAAAACAAAGCCGCTGTCGCTGGCCCCTTCTCCCTCCAGTTCTCCCCGCAGCACGTCTCTCCCAACCTCTGCTGACCTCTCCCGACGTGCTGAGAGCTGGGCACGGTGGCTCTCTTTGGACCTCTCCTCAAATCTGATCGTGGCACCTGTTGCTGCTGCTTCTACTAAGCACAAAACCCTGAGCAAAAGCCGCTCTCCAGCTGAGTGGCAGCCACTAGGGTCACTCTATGGTGCACTTGCTCCCATTTCACTCTGAATCCCCCAGTCCAGTATATAACTGGCGACATTGCTCTGAATCAAAATGCGGAGGCTACTTGTGCATCAGTTTCTCCTAATGCACAAGCACACGTGAATGTAGTCAAAGACAAGGACACCTCAGTTGGGTACGAACACCAGACTGTGACATCCCCCTGACTCGCATGAATGGGCCTGTGAACACGCAAAGCTCATCCATATGCAAGAGCAGAGAGGTGGTTAAGTAATGCATCCAATGAACCAACTTTTGACACATTTGTTGAGCACTTCTCAGGGCCATATTTGACCTTCAGGCTTCTGGGTTGCAGAGATGGGTAAGTCACTCACAAAACCCTCCTACAGTAATCAACTGCTCTGCACAAAGAATGTGGGCTTCTGGAAAGGCAGAATTTGAGGCCTGAGGAAGGAGGAAAGTTCAGAGGTGTCTTACAAAGCTCTGAATACATGTATACAGTGCTTGAGAGAAACTACGAAGAAGCCCGTGAAAGCCGGTCCTGGGGTACCATGAGCTGCCTGATTTCACATTCCTGTTCCTACGACTCAGGCTCTCTGCAAGTCCCAGGGCAGTGGGCCAGGCTTCTGATAAACCGGGATTCCTGGTGGACCTGACTGATGTGACCACCACCTCCCCATCCTTGAGTTTGGGGCAGGGGCTTTGCAGAAAAAATTGCTGAGGATGCTACACGCTTCCACCTGTGTGTGGACCCCTGGCATGGAACTTCTTGTTCCTCGTTAGGCAGTCCTTAGCTCCTGAAGACAGCAGGCGAAAAATCACTCGCTAACTCGTTAGGTCATAGGCTTTAATAATGTCAAACGATCTTTATTTAAATTTGTTTTTCAAAATATTTCTGGAAAGCTAGAAATAGAACACCTTTGGATGCCAGATCTAGGAGGAATCTGAGAACCTTCCAGTCTTGTCTCACAGCTGAGGTGTGAGGTTTCGGGGGTGATCTTCACGGAGGCCCTTGGAGAGGCCACACTTCCAGGTCGCCCAGGTGCTGAAAGGGCACGTGGTGCTCTGGGGAACAGGAATGGCACTGCCCCTGTGGAGGGAGGTGGGGAGGAAGTGTGTGGTCTCTGTGAGAATCTGTGGTTCACAAGGTGGCCTGTGTTTACCCTGGGGTGGGGGTGGGGGTGGGGTTTTTGCCTTCAACACAGCCTCCAGCTTGTGCTAAAACCAGAACCTGGAACAGAAAGTGCTCGGAACCTTCCCTGCTGTTTCCATGGTGCCCACAACAACCCTAGGAAACCAAAGATAAGAGCCCCACCAAAGCACCTTGGTCCACAAGGAAAAAAGGTAAGCTCTAAATGTCATGAGAGCTTTCAGGATTCAGGCTTAGAAGTGACCAGCCTCCGGCTCTCCTGTAATTCAGAGACCAGTGAGTGGCATGAGTGTTATTCCATTCCACACACTTCCCCTGTGAACACTTCCACAATGGGCAAGAGGGCATCAGGACTACAAGTAGGACTGGTTCATTTCATCTGCTTTCAAGCCCAACAGGGGTGCCTAGTGTCAAGTACTGCTTGAACTTGCCTCCTTCAGGTCGGCTGGAAAAAGAAGGCTCAGGACTCTTGGTTGGGGAGCAGGGAGGTCTGGGAGTAAGGAACGAGCCCAAGCAGCTCCTGTGCACTGAGAGGGGCTTAGAAACTGACTCTCAATACTCATGCCCCTGCTGGGGTGAAGAGAGAGCAAATACATTTCCAGGCAACTAAAATACCCTGGACTTCAAGATAAGCTAGTAAAAGTAAAGCTCTTGGGTATCAAGACAAAGGAAGCAGGGAGTAGCTGAGGGTGAACCCCAGCATTGTTCTCTCTACTGAGGTGAATCCCACAGACATGAGGGAATCCTAGCCAGGTCTGCCTTAGCACGGGGCACTGTTCCCTCTTCTCAGATCCCTAAGTCACACTGAGGCCTTGAGAGTTTATAGCCAAGGCAGTGGGAAGCTGGGGAAGGATTTTAAGCTGGGGAGTTGAGGCCATTCTGACTCCTAAGGGGAGAAGGGATCAGAGAAGCATCTGTGTGCTTCCTGGGGAATGGTGGGAATCCAACCCCGAAGGAAGTAGGGATGGGACCCAGAGCTCTGTGTGCACTGAACAAGTGCTCCACCGCTAAGCAATGTGTGCCCCCGCCAGGACTGATCTGATATGCAAGTTCTAAAATTAGAGACGGTCAAAGTAAGTACACATTTAACATACTTTCATACCCAGTTAAATAATTTGTGTAATACAAACAACATGAAAAAGATGTTACACCGGGGAGAATATTCATAGCGCATATAGCAGACAACAGCATGGTGTACCTAGAACCGAATAGAGAGGGATCCTGAGGATTGCTGAGGGAACTGCAGCTGCCCAGCAGAAGGTGGGAAGAGTTCATGATTCGATATCTTGCAGAAAAAAATTAAAAGGCAAAACATATATAAAACAGCGTTCAGCCCTGCTGGTGGCTATGGGGGTCAAATTAAAGTAACAGTCCGAAGCTATCACTCACCACATTGGCAAAAATACATGTAATGGCAATGCGTAGTACTTGAGGTGGTGTGGGCCAAGCACTTAAAAGCTGCCAGGGCTGGGGATTGTAGTTCAGTGGTAATGTTTGCCTAGCATGTGCAAGGGCTCTGGGTTTGATCCCCAGCAATGGAAAAAATATTCAGTGCTGCGAAGGCAAACTGCTCCTACTTTTGGGAAGTTGAGGCAGCATTACCTATTTGAACTAAATATTTATACTTCTGACATAATCCCACTTTGAAGAATAAAAGCAGTAACATACAAAGACACACACGCACACAGAGGTATTAGGTACAGATGTAGGTAACACACATACGCAATATCCAAACTGCCTTAATTGTGTGTGTGTGTGTGTGTGTGTGTGTGTGTGTGTGTTGGTGTCTATAAAAATAAAACACAAGAAACAACCTGAATGACTATGGATAAGTATGATAAATAATGATGCTTCCACAGTATGAAATAATTATGTATATATTTTCCTTTTTCTTCACCTGTCTTTGTATTGGTTCACTTGTAATGAGCCCATATAAATTACTTTTGCAATTTAAATAGAGAAGAAACTCCTGTCTGCCCAGGTGAAATTAAAATTCCATAGGGTAGGGTCATGTGCATTTCCCTCACTACCCTATCTCATGAGGAAGTGACTCTTCTCGGCATGATGTAACTGCACAGAAAACACTTGGTGAATGAATCGCCTCCCCTGCTGTGGCTGTCATGCAGGTGGGGCACAGTTCAGGAGCAAGACCCTGAGGCAGTGGAGATTCTTGATCAACATGGACTTCTGCTGGTTTTTCCTACTTACCCTTTCCTTCCCTTTTGTCCGTCTCTCAGTGCTGCTCCAGGGATCCATCCAGCCCCCATCAAACTCTTTTTTTTGGGGGGTACTGGGGATCAAACTCCGGACCTTGCACTCGCCAGGCAGGCACAACACCCCTGAGCTACATTCCTGGCTTAACTAAGTCTTGCTGGGAGAGTTAATCTGATGTCTGCTATGCTAGGCCAGTGGGGCTCACCTGTTAAGGGCTTGACTTACACAAACCACACAAAGACTGAATGTGTAGGAGCTGGTTCATCCCAGTGGCAGTGGATGGCAATGCTGGTACATGTACTAGATCCCAGCAGTGACCACCTGCCCTTCCCCAAGGAGAGTTCCCCAGTTCTCCCTGGGGTTTTGGGGTCACCTTCTTCCCACCAGGACCCTCCACTCAATCCCAACCTCCTCCATGTTCATATTTTTTGGCATATTGTCACTCAGATTAGTTTCTATTGCTTGCAGTAAAACTGCCCGAGGTGTGTTCAGAAACAGCTGGAGAATCCTTCTGTTGGTCTTTCCAGACCTGTGCAAAGGTGACCACAAGTCCACTGAGTCCAGAATGGTTCTGGTGTTTACCTTGTTGTTTGAACCCAATTTTAAAAATGTAGATTCTTAGACCAATCTTCTCCATAGTATTTTGAAGACACTTTTCAGAAATTAATTGCAAATTTCAACTTTCACTCTTGTCTTCCAGGTGATCATCTTTTCCCCACTGTGTAATCTCCACTATTATTTGTGAAAATGTTGAATGCGGTAAGTTATCAGCTTTACAGGAAAGCAGGCAATGGAGAGGAGGCGCTTTGGGTCACAGCGCAAGGGACTGGGCCCACACTATTGAGGGCTTCAAGCTTCACTGGCTGACTCTGTTGGAAAGAGCATGTCCAGGAAGTACATGCAGGAAACAGGGCAGCCCACTGCCTGACCCTGCAGCAGGACTACATCCAGACTCCCATTCCAGTTTTCAGTCACCCCCCATAGAGTAGACAATAGACTATAAGGAACCCCCCCAAACTTTATTATATCCTTTTAATAACTCTAAAACCAAAATGGTGCCATCACCACCAACATCAACCTCACCATCACGACCGTCACCACCATTGTCATAATCATCGCCATCATCATGTTTATCAGAATTCCCATTTTACACAGAGTGGGAGGCTCAGAAGGTTACGTAACTTGCCCAAAGTTGCACAAGTAGCTAAATTACAAAAACAAGATTTGAGCTGAGATCCTCTATTCCATTGCCCATGGTTGCCCTACCACTCTGCTGGTGCCCAAGTTAGAATTAATGCCACTCATTCCTGTGGACCTCTTGTGGTGATTTTTCCTTGCTAGATTTCTTGGAGTTATCAGTCTGGGATTTATATCCATGCTGAGTATTCTCCTGCTTCCTTAACAAAATTTGGTAAATTCGTTTGAGGCCCTAAGAAATTTTCTAAGTAAAATTCCCTTCCCCGTGATATTCAAAGTAGCAAATATTCATAGTAGCACTGTTTACAATAGATGGAAGGCAGACAACCCAAGTGTATCACCTGATGAATAGATAACATGTGGTATGTCTATACAAAGTAAATTATTCTGCTTTAAAAAGGAGTGAAATACTGATACATCAATGAACCTCGAAAGCATTTCGCTAAGTGAAAGAAGCCAGACACAAGAGACCACATATTTTGTAATTGAACAGATATACAATATCCAGAATAGTCAGATCTATAGTCAGGAGACAGATTAGTGGTTTCCAAGAACTGGGGAGAGGGGAATGGGGAGCAATAGTTTAATGGATACAGGGTTTCTGTTTGGGATTATGAAAATGTTCTGGAACTAGATGGTGGCGATGGTTACATAACATTATAAATAAGGTAAACACCACTACTAACTAGTACACTATTGCGTGAATAAATTGGTGAATTGTATGTGTTGTGTATCTTACCAACAAAAAACCCTGCCCGAGATCTCTGCAATGTAGCATCTCTGAGTGACATGCGGAATCCTTAAAGAATAGTACTTGAGGAATAATACATTTGCGGACTCTTTGGAGCTAACTGCAAAGAAGCAATGTTTCTCCTTGAACTTTTTCCTCATGCACTTCCTGTTCCAGATTCTAAATTCTAAATTACTTTGTAGCATGAGATCCCTAGTGCATGAAATATAGCATCCTTATGTGGAGAAGATGCCCATGAGAGATATTAGCCATGTCTTGATTTTCTTTCTGCTGTACGATTTGAAAAATCTGACATCTATGTGAAGTTAAAAGATTTTCTCTCTTCCTTTGAATACTCAACAGCCCAAGACTCGGCTGGAGCGCCGGATTGTTGGCTCAACGAACCGGTGGCGTTTCCCCAAAGAGCCTTTTTCAGGGGACCTGCTGGCACTTTCCCAGATGTGCAAGGCTTTGAGCATAGACCTCGACGACGCTCTGAAACATCCAGACAGGTAGGGAGACTCCAAAGCCCGTGCCAGGAAATGGCACACCAGGGTAGACTGTGTTCCTGGGAGGGAGGGAGTCTGATGGATGGGCCACTCCACTTGAATAGAGGGGCTGTAACTTCCACATCTTCCAGGAAGAGTCCCTCTGGGGCCATCTTTAGGCATGGGAGGGGTCAAAAGGAGAGTACTTCTGAGAATGTCTGTGGGTAGTGATCAAAGAGCAGAGAGAATGTAACAATGCTTTGCCTTGTTTTTCTTTTGCATTGAGAACTTGAGTCCCTCACTGGGTTTCTACATTTATCATCCATAGACCAGATGATTTATTGACAAAACTTAGTGGCTAAGTGTTTGGAAACCTCTTACAAATTCCCATTTCTGCCCAATCAAAGGATCCTCCTCGATCTCATAGTATCCTTTGCAGCAGGCTAGATCATCACTTTTCCATATTTTTTCTTTCTTACCTGTCCTGGAGGATGCCGAGTGGGATCCTGTTGCAGAAGGAATTCTTCATTTTCTTGCCATTGTTGTTGCTGCCCTCTGAGGTGGCAATATCGGCCTCGAGCTCATGGTCAAGTCTACCTGGGCTTGGGCTGCAACCCTGGGACAGCATCTGGCGTGGAAGAGCTGCTTGCTTCATGTTTTCTGAGTGAGTGGCCAACTCTTCCCTCCCTACTTGCTGGCCTTCCGTGCTCCATTGCCCAGTTCCTTAGCATCAGGCCAGGAGAGGAAGCTGAAACAGGAGCTGGGCCTCAGAGTCGGGGCAAAGGGATCTAGAAAACCGAGGAGAGGTGTTGAAGACAGTGGTAGTTGGCTCTGGGCATCGGGACCATTAAAAGCAGACTGCCAGGCAAGGTTGGAATCCCTGCCCCTCTACATGCTCATTCTGCAGCCTTTATGCAGTAGCTAAATCTCTTTGAATCTCAGTGTTCTCATCCGAGATGACTGTAATAGCACCTCCCTTGAAGAGTCATCTTGTAGATTAAATCAGATTGGAAGTGCTCAGATTGTTTCTTATAAACAATACATGCTCAATGAACAGAGCAATCATCTTTGTTGCCTGAATAGCAGTTTTAGTCACTGATCCTGGTGATTTCACTAGGACATATCAGCCGAGTCCTCTGCCAGCCAAAAGCCCCACACTTCCCTCTGTCCCTTATACCATTCCCCTAATCAAAGTACCTTGCCTCTAGGGCAACAGATGCTGGGGAACTGGATATTGTCATCGTAGAAGAAACTTTACAAATCTGCCTCTCTTTTTAACTGGGCAGCACAAACCAGCAGGCCCTAGTCCAGCTGCTTACTCTGCACCCAGTGTAGCTGATGTAGGCTCAGTACTTCTGAGCTCTGCCCCCTGAGCCCTCTCCTTCCCATTCTCCTCTGACAGTGGGCTATCCTGGGCGTGTGGTGCTTGTGGTGGTGGCAGAAAAATCACAGGGCCAATCCAGGTCAAGGGATGAAAAATAGACCCCAGCTCTTCATCGAGAGGAACTTGGCAGCCGTAAGATAACAGGTGTGGATGCAGGGACTGGGAGAATAGAATTGAGGCCAATGGTACAGTGTATCACAGTGAGGTTTTTAATAAAGGGGGGAACAGGTTTTTAATAAAGATTGCAGCTCTTTGTCTTCACTATAGGATTTTATTCCATGTGATTGTGGGAAACTTCCTGGAGAACACAGTAAAGATTTCTTTTTTTTTTTTTTTGTATTTATTTTTTACATTGACAGATAAATTATTTAATTCAAGTAATACAATAAAAGACTATGACTGGTAATGCTTTGTACCTTCAAACATCTGGCAACTGCCAGATGTCAGCACTAAGTCCAGTGATGCTCTGGAGCTGTATCAAGCAATACATGCACGTCCCTGCAAAGCGCCCAGAGCTCTTTGGCTGTCTCCACCTGCAAACCTTGTTCCAGTAGTTGATGCTGTAATTATTGCTTCTTCCACTTGGAGGTGCTGTCTGCTTTGGCAGGAGTTGGGCCAATTTACCCTTTAGTAGTCAGCGAAGTCTCACAGTGGAAAGGTCTGTCATAATGGCTTATGCAGATCAGTATTCTGGTTGTGGCCCAGCTGACTGCCTCATCTCATGTCTGTGCATCTCCATGACACACCGAACTCTTAGGCCAGTGACAGGCACACAGCACAGGCAGCTACAGGCTGTGGCTCTCCTAGCCCTATTCTCCTTCAAGGATCAGACCTGCAGAGCAAACAAGAGACCAAATGTCAGCCAAGTGCACACTTGGTGCAAGGCATCCCAGACATTCATCCTTCAACTCTGCCCAATCACCTCTCCTTTACGGAGGAAAGCCTGAGATCAGAAGGCTGGCCCAGGGTCACATGACAGAAAACAGAAAGCGTGGGCTCCAGTCCCAGGTGGGTGTGATTCTTCCAAAAGCCCTGTGTGCAGCTTGCTTTAGGAGGCCATATGTGCATGAGAAACTTAACGGAGTTCCCTTGTGCTTCTTCCTTTCTCCATCGTGGGCCATGGCTTGGGAGAAGATGCTCTCAGCCTGAGAGCACACTGTCAATATCCCTACCTGCCTCATCATCACAGGCCATTTAGCCCCCAGAAGAATGGAGAGAAGCCATTTGTGCCATTCATTTTTCCAGTGCCTTGAAACAAGTCCCAGCCCCCAGTGTACAGAGCCTGCCCGGTAAATAGCAAATCTTGAAAAGGAGCCATCACATGCAGGAGGCAGTGTGGCCACTTCCGTTGTCTGGCATCTGGGGTGCAGCTGGTGACAGGGATGTTTGTGAGGTGGCTGAGCTCATGCACACTGCCCCATGTTTTCCAAACCTCATTGCCCCTTGAGATCATAATCTGAACTCTTGACCCCACTCAGTTCTCCCCAGACATGTCACCCAAGCCACCAGATGGCTTGAGGAGGATGAGAGGGCTGCTGGGCCCGATGTTAAGTAAATAGTTCACTCCTAGCACCTTCCTGAGGCTGAGTCAGTTGTAGCCGTCTCCGACCTTGGAAAGGGCAGCACGTAACCAATATTATTCCAGACACAGGCCCCCACCCCCGCCACCTCTATGCACCTGGCCCATGAGGGCTCCTGGGACATTGAGCAACAACGTGCCCAAGTGAACACTGAATTACCTAGACCACATGTGGTCGTCAAGTCCCTTGGCTGGTTGGCTTTCCTGGGATGACTATCTTCAAAATGTCAATATGTGACTCCACTTTGGTTTCATTTCCTTGCTCAACATGCTGAGTACATACTGTGTGAAAAAGCACCTATATTGTCATCCATTCATTCAACGGAACTTTTCCTGAGCACCTGCATGATGGCTTGCGCTGGGTCCATGGTTACAAACAATGCTCTCTTTGTCATGAAGGGACTCACGAATAAACAGTAGTTTCCACATTTCCACAGGGGTAATGGGGGAGGCTGGCCCAGCCCTCCCAGAGAAAGCAACAGTGAAACTTCTCCTGAAGAGCGATAGGAACCAGCCAAGGGGAAGGGCAGTGGGAGGGCAGGATGGCTCTCTTGCACCCGGAGCAGGCTGAGGCTGTAGAAAAGTGCTGGAGCTGGGAGTGGGAAGAATGAAGCTACAGAGTTAGGCAGGGCTTGTTAGATGTACCAAGACATGCCGAGACATTTGGGCTTCCTGCAGGGACACTGGGGAGACCGTGGAGAACCCTCTGCAGAAGAGAGACAAGACCGGCTCTGCGCTCTGTGCGGGGGGGGGGGTTGTGGGGGGGCATATGCTTCCAAGCAGAGGAGGGCTGGAAGCCAGAGACCAGTGGTGACTGGGGAGAGGAGATGGTGGTTTGGACAAAGATCACAGGAATGAAGGCAAAGACACATGGACAAATCTGTGCACACATTTGAGGATATTTCATCAGATGGTATAAAGTGATCAGATGTGACATTTAGTAGGCTGTCTTGGGCACCTCAGGGCTGTAGAATCATTTCCCTGGTAGAGGAACAGGGTAGCATTCAGGCAGTGGTTTTTGGACACATTGAGACTGGAGACTGTATGACTTCTAAATGAAATTGTTGGGGAGTTAATGTCTTAGAAATGGGCAGAACACTGTTGTTTTTCCCAGCAGATGTTCATTGAGTGCCTACTGTGCACCACTGTTTTCCACTCTCCCCAAAGGGAAGTGTCCTTCGGGCAGCATGATGGTGCCTCACGTCCCTCCTTGACAAGGCCTACCCACTAACTGGAAACAGGAATCAGTGTTTGGGGCCAGCCACGAGGCAGCCTACAATTGGTCAAATCCACAGACAACCTGAGGGAGGCAGCCTACAATTGGCTGAGCTATGAGAGGTTGCTTAATGGACAGCTGTAGGAAAGCACGTATTAGAATGCTGTATGTCTCAGGGGAGGAAAAAGTGTCAGTATTAACTCCTGGGTTTTTCTGTTTGTATTTTTCTTGAGGTTATGCATTTCAAAAATTCAGAAGCTTTTCTCTGAGAATTTCAACAACCAGGCCACCCAAAGTTGGGAACCAGGTGAGTTTGTCACTAGTGGATGAAACCAGAATGTGGCTGACCAGTCATGATCTGGACATCCATGTCTGCACTTATCCAAGAGAACTTTTCTGAGGTAGAACCAAGAATAAGAATTGATTTATTCAGCTAGAAAAAGTTCACTGAGCCTCATGAGGAGCGAGGACAGGTTAGTTTCTCTCTCTCTCTCCTCCTCCTCCTCCTCCTCCTCTTCCTCCTCTCTCCCTCTCTCCTCCTCCCTCCCTTCCCTTTCTCTTTCAGTTCTTTCTCCTCTCCTTTGTATCCTTCCTCTTCCTCCTCCTGTTCCTCCTTCTTTCTTCCTCCTTTTTGGTGGTGGTGCTGGGCCCTGAACCCAGGGCCTCATACATGTAAGGCACATGTGCCACTGAGCTACATCTCCAGCCAAACGTCAGTTCCTTGAAGGAGCTTCTCTTTGGGATAAAACCACCTACCAATGGGTGCCTGAGACTAGAACCAGACTCTTTTCGGAGGAGAGACTAATACATTTCTTCTCACTTGTCAATTTTGATTGAATCAGAGAAGTAGCCTGAGATCATCTCCTGGCTGGGAAAGGGGTTCTGGGACTGATTAGTGATGTCTACTATGCATTTTGGCCATCCTGAAAGTGGAAATTGGTGTCCAGGGAGCGAATGAGTTTGAATGAGCAAGGTCTACTACTGCTTATGATTACCCTACTCATGTGGGATTTTTTTTTTCTAACCCAGCATAACCAGTCCACTGGGTTTGAGATAAGAACCACAGTTTGAGATAAGAACCCAGGTTCTGAACCCTGGCACCAAACAATATCATATACAATTGGTGAATAACAATAATAGTAACAACCAGAAGAAACATCCCCAAGATCACACAGCCAAACTATTGGCAAAGCTAAGAAATAACTAGATTGGGGTAGTGGCTCTCTAGGTCCTGTCAGACATTGAGATTTAAGGCTCAGGGAGATCAGCCTTCATGGCACTCCCTTCCCCCAGCTCTGTAGTAACAGAGCAGCTGAGCCACGAAGAGCTCTCTTGCCCCCACCTCTGGTGCCTTCCCTGGCCTGGCACCCCTGGATCCTCCACCTGCCCTCCTATCCAAGTCCCTTTGTTGGTCTTCTATGCCATCCTCAAGTTAGACTGCCTCATGTAAAGCCTGTCTACAGTCTGAAGAGGGCCTTTTCCACACTGTCATCTTACTTCACACCTTCTGATGAATAATGGAATTCCTTGGGATGAGAGTAAAGCTCTGGAGACTTCTGCTTTCTCTTGTGGCCCTTTACTGGGTGGCACTTTGTGATTGCCTTTCAGATGATTAATATTTAGGTACTAATAGCCCCAAAGTCCTCTACAGGGAACCAGGAGTGGTTCTGCTCCCCATTTGACAATGCCTTGGACATTCTTGGTTGTCACAGCAGTGCCACAAGCATCCATCCAGTAGCTAGAGGCCAAGGATGCTGCTAAGTAACCCCAGGGCACAGGAGAGTCCCCTACCACAGAGAATGATCCGACCCAAAATAGCAGCACCTAATTCAAAATTACCATAGTAGAGGAAGGTAAAGTGAAGTCCCAAGAGCATCCCCAAAAGGTTTCCTGCAAGACCTTTTCTAGTTCCCCAAGTTGGAGGACAGCTTGGATGCCCCTGAAGTCTTCCGGCTTTGTCCGCAGCTCTCTGGGATGCTTGTCACTTCCTCCACAAGACTGCTGACAGTGCCCTCCTCAGTGCCAGTGAACTTCTTGAGGCCCACACTGTACTGACACTTAGGGAAGCCACCTTGCTCACCTCATCTGCTTATAACCTGCATTTGAATGAAGGAGTATGCAGGAGGGGAAGTTAAGGTGACTTTGTGTAGGGATGTTACAGAATCACTGCTCCTCCTCATTTTCTCCTCAGATGTGATTCTTGAATGCCTAGGCTCCAAGTGGGAACTCCATCAACCCCAGCTTTTTCAATCTGAGACCTTGGCCAAACTTTACCTGGCAGCCCTGATACAGAGCACAAATCGCTCCCTGGGAGAAATGAACAAGACTCTGCAAGGTAATTTCCCAGTGGACCCCGGGCAGGAGCCACAAGCACCCTCAGGTTATGAGACCCCAGCGTGGCAGTGGTTATCTATTTTGAGGCTATGGTCCCTCGGGCAGTGAGGGAGCCAGGTTTCATGCTGTGGGTTCATTGTGTGTTTTGTCTCTGTTTCCTTGGCTTTAAGTGGGGATAAAGCTCTTCTCCTGTGGCTTTGACACCTAGAGGGGGTAATGGGTGGAGCGTTCCGGGACATTGCCTGGCACCCGTGGGCGCTCTGTGCGACTTAGGTATTTAGCCTTGGAACAACCAAGTCTTACCTGGTCAGATAAGACACAGAGACTCTAGTTACACCTCAGAGAAGAGAACATGGGCTAGGTTCAGTCTTTCGAAGAACTTTCTGGAAGGAAGGCATTGTTCCGAAATCTGTGGTTTCTTTGGTCTAAATGTGTGCATCTTCCCTTCCTTTTCTTTTCTTATTCCTTAGCTTCAGACATTTGTCTTTTTCTTTTTTAAAAACCTCCTTCTTAAATACTAATCCTCCCAAGCCTCTTCTGACTATTTTCCATGCCCTTTCCATCTACATTGTGAACTTCTTCTTTAGGGAACAGATTAACACTACCTCAGCTGAATCACAGGGTGCCGTGAATAACCCACGGTCCCCAGAGCTAACCAGACCGCTGGTCAGGATGGGACCACATTCCTAGGACCTGGCAGCAAAGCCCTGTTTTTCTGGAGTCAGGCAGGCAGCCAGAGCTCCCACTCCCCTTGCTCCCCTCCTTAAGCCTGGAGCATGCTCCATGGCCTGCTGGAGTCTGACCACGGAGCCTCTGACCTAACCTTTCCTGGCAGAGCTGGCAGGAATAACTCTCTTTCCTGAAGAACAGCAATAACCTTGGCTCTTGCTAGTGGTCTTCTTTGCCTTCCTTAGCATTTGTCCCAGCACCCTTAAAAGCAGGCCTGGACTCTTCCATCTCTCCTGTGCTCAGGTCAATGAAAGACAATGAGTACATTGGAAAGCCAGAGGGTTTGGGAGGGGAAACAGTCACTGCTAATATTATCCCCTTGTACAGGTCTAGGGTGATGTCATTAAAAAGAAAAGATTTGATTCAAAGCTTCCCCGTTCATGGCTGGCCCTGGCTGGAAATGCCAGCAAAGAGCCAGTAAGGAGGCCTGAGTGCCTTTGATTGTCAGAACTTTTCAGGGTCTCCCCAAGCACCATGAACTGCTCAGGACCCGGGTCTTGTGTCTCCAGGATTTTCTATGCAAAGAGGTACAGTCCTTTATGTGCCTGTAACAGCAGAGCGTATCTTTCAAGGATGGCTTGTAGACCCATCTCACAATTGTGGCTTTTGTGTTCTTAAGGACATTTGTGTGCTCTCTTGGAGTTGGCTGCAGAGGAGGTTTCTGGACAATTGCTGGAGAGCTGGGCTCTGTGGAGACCCACAGGTTCTTGCCACTGCATGGTTTCTTTCCACCAAATGCTGAGGTGCAGTGACACCCTGAGCAGGACACGCTCATCCTCTAGAATGGAAACCAAAAGGAATAGCAATCTTATTAAACATGAACCAACCACCTTGGTTTTGAAAGACCTCGGGAATGCATGAGCCAATGATTACTTTCCAACCTGATTTGGGGGTTTTACTTAACTGGAAGGGAAGGTGAATTTCTGTCCTCCACTTACTCTGGCCTAGTTGATACTTCTCCTTCCTTCTGTCAACAAATGTTGAGTGCTCAGTTTTTGCCAGTTTAGGTGTCTACCATCTGTATAGGCAAAACAAGCAAATCCAACATGATGATAAAACTTAATGGGTAGCATGATCCAAAGCAATAGTAGCCACCACCTCCTGTGGGCCAGTGTGCTAGGCACTCACAAGTACCATCTCATTTACTTCCTCCAGTGGGGGTGAATGACTGGCAGGAATGTGCAGGCAGGAGGCTGGGCGGTAATGCTCAAGAGGGAAGTGATCCCGAGCTTGAAACAAGACCTCGCACTTACTAGGTGCTTAATAAATCTTTGTTGAACGGGGACCTGAACAGGGCCAAGTGCCAGAGGATAGTAAAGGTTAGGCTCAGAAAGAGGGATCTTTAGTGTCTCTTTCTTCTGCAGTGTGACATCCATCCTGGTTCCACATTTGTGTCATTTTTCAAAACCTGGGACCTTGAGCTCACTGGTGATGGAATCTACTCATTTCATCAATTCAGCCAGTATTAACTTAGCACCAATATGGAGGATCCTGGGATTGAGCCACCAGTAAACCATCAATGTGCCTGCCCCCGCAGCCATGTGGTGCAACAGCACGCCATGATAAGGTTGGCTTATGTAGAAGAGAAATCAGATAGCAGGGAGATGGTTCTGCCTTACATACAGGATCAGGGAAGGCCTCTCTGAGAAAAGGGCACATAGCTAGGCCCCTGATGAAGGAAGAGGCATGGAGTGAGCCACTGGGGGAGAAGCGCTGAGAAGGAAGGTTTTGGATAGAATGAACAGAGCAGTGAGAAGGGGTAGGGCCTTGAAGGTCTTGGAGCTATGGATGGGGCTTTGGTTTGTATACCAAGGACTTGGGATGCTACCAGAAACTCGAGAGCCACGTTGTAGAATGACTCCAAGACCATGGGGTTGGCTAGTGACAGCTTGGGCTGGCCCATTCCATCCTCCTGGAAATGCTTGGTGGCAGGAGTCCCCAGTTTGGATATCTGTGGGGCTAAGTGCCAAGAGCCAATGGGTGGAAGCCTGAGCCCCACATCCGTCCTTCAGCAGATGATCACTGTGCCTCCCTCGGTACCTGCCCTGCCCGGGGTGCTCAGGTTCAGGAATGGCTGGGGCCCTTCTTTGCCCGCAAAGTGCTCGCACTTAACTAAAGAAAGATGGGTGAGGAAGGGAGTGAAAGAGAGAACCAGTAACAAATATTTAAAGTGCAACATAAGCGTCCATTAGTAAGTTTTACAATGCACAGTGGCTTTGGAAGATCACTAGGGGAAGCTGCGTGAAGAGAACACAGGAACTCTCTGTACTACTTTCAAAACTTTTTGTTAGTTTTAACTATTTAAAAATATGTAGTTATCTTGCACATGCACCCACTGAATAAACCAAGTATGATGTGGTCGTGTCATGATCAAGGTGGTGTGAAGCACACCTCCCGCTGCACTTTCACTGTGATCATTACCTCCATCGTTATCTGATTTCTTTCACTAGTTCACTCACCTGGGAAGACCAAAGAAAAATCCCCCTTCAAGAAGATGATTGTTTCTTTGAGGATCAATGATCCATCTGTCACCAGAGTTGGTAATGTAACACATTATGCCTTTATGTTCTAAGAAAGCCATTGAGCAAGCAGTCTGCCCAGAGTCAAAACAGTAAACCAGCAACAAAACACCACGAATAAGTGGTACACTTTCCTGACCAAAAATGCTGAACACTACAGATGAACAAGGGTCAAGAGGTCTTGGGACAACTTGGAAAAGTGGGAAATAGAATGCTACTAAAGAGAGGCGCTGTCAGGGAGTAAAGGACAAGAAGGATGCAGGACGAAAAGGAAGCAGGTTGCTACGGTGTGGCAGAAACAGAGCTGCCCTTCCCTAGCTCACACGGGCCCAGCGAAGCCCTCAGGACCACCCTTGATGCCAGACAGCCATGACCTGCCCTGTCCCATCGAGGACCCACGGTGGCTGCTGTCCAGTAGCAGAAGGCCCCCTCAGGGTGCTCTATGGGCCACAGGTTTGTGTGTGGAATGTAAATGGTGTGACATCACGTGATGATGCAGGTCTATGACTTGCTAGGGCAGAAGATAATGCACTTATGTGCTGGCTCAGCTTGTTTTCCACGTGCGATGCCACGGTGATGCTGTCTTGGACCACGTAGGACTTGGAAGAGGCCGAGACTACCCGGCCCTCAGCCAAGGCAGGCCAGTTCACAAATGATCAAGTTATCTTGGCTCTTCCCAGGAGATCTGGAACTTTACTAAAGTGCCCAGACTCCTAGGAAAATCTTCTGTGAGCTATGTCACGTCCAGAGAAGGAAATGTACCTATCTGCACACTACATTTTGCACATATTTGGGCAGTCACATTCTTGCTCAGGGACAGGCCCCAGGTTAGAAGAGACCCCTGGGATGTCTCACCCTTCAGGTGACTGCAAGGTGCAGACTCTGAGCAAGGAATTCAGCTTTCTTTAGCTCACCTCCTCCAAGCAGCTGGAAACCCAGGTCACCAAACACCCTAGTGGTATCTGCACTCAGGTCAGAGCAGGTGCCTCTTCTCCAAGGGTGTCCCTATAGGGAACGGGAAAAGGGACGTTACCAGAAGCCCCTGCCGTGGCACCTGCTCTCCCGTGAGCCCAGGCAACACAAAGCTAATTAAAGAATAAAGACAGGAAAGGAGACTTAGAGGAAACGCTGGAGCTTGGGACCGATCTATGCTGCTCTAGGCAACAAAGACAAAGGCCCCCAAGTGCATTCAATACTTACTGAGTACAAGTGTGAGAAGGAATAGGGAGCAGGGTGTGCTTCGAAGACATCTAGTGAAATACTGCTGATCACCTGGCCTGATGGCGCCAGGCAGGGCTGTCAGGGAGTAAGCACTGCTTACCTTGCTTGGATAGACAAACCAGTACTGGGACCAGGTGCAATTAGCAAGCAACTCGCTGGGTCAGTGAGAAGCCATAATTCAGGGGAAAGGCTTTTAATTGGGGTCACGCTGATCTCAGCTGCACCTAACTCAGCAGGGCCGGCCACTTCACAGACCAGGGTGTAGGCCTCAGTGGCAGGCACTGGGGGAGGGCTCTACGCGCCCACCCTGCCATCTGACATGCCCATTTGCATCGTGGAGGGCTTCAGTCTGACTCCTGATATAAAGCATTTTAGCCAAATTAGGGAAAGCAGGTAGCATGTGCCACTTACATCCCACTAGTACTGGGCAGGGATGTCTGCTACATGTCCCTGTCTGCCCAGCTGTATGGTAGGGAGGCCATGGGTGGTGTCCCCATGTAGAGCCCCTGCTGACGGCTCTCCCTCGGCTGCTGCCTCCTCAGCCTTCGCTACGGCCCTGAGGAGCCTCTACATAAGCGAAGCAGAGATAAACACGGACGACGCAGTGGCGGTGCTGGCTTCAGCTAACATCCTCCAGTTCAGCAGCCTGTTTCAAAAGTAAGGAGGCAGGAGGGACCAAGCCAGCCCGGGGAAAACCAGAAGGGTCCTGCCTGGCCCATTACATGGAACATCCCTCTGCCCTGGGCTAAGACTACTTTGGGTTCCTTTGTGCAAAGCATGACTTTGAACCTGGAAAGGACAAGGCACTAACCCCCGCTAATGCATTAGGCACTCGGTAACAGCTCCCTTGCTCTCCTGAACCTGTAACAGGCTGGTTTTAGCCACAGGGTTCTTGACTCACAGGAATGAACTACCAGAGGGGGAGGGAGTATTCTGCGGCTGGGAGAGACTTTGCAGGCCTGCAGTTGACTTACCACTCTGGCGCCCTCAAGCCAGGCTTGATTATCCACTTCCCCTGTGTTCATTTTTGGATTAAAAAGTATCTCTCCACTGAGCACACACACACAGACACATTAGAAGAAAAGCTGATTTTCCTATGGAAAATTTCTCCATGGCTCATTTTATATCCTGCCTTGTTTTTTATTGTGAACAGTATTTTCATTGTTCTGAATGTTACACAAGATTGTTGTAAATCTTCGGGAAGAGAGAAAGTACCAATCCCACTGCCCACTTTGGGGGCTTTTCTCTGGGCATTCAGGGCCTGCTTCCTCAGCCGCCCCCCTTGTAGGAGAGCAATCCAGGGCAAGGGGGACCAGGCGGTCTTTGAAGAGGACTGACACTGAATGTTACAGCCTCCTCATCCTGACAGATTACCTGGCCCTGGATAACGAGAGAGTTCATGGACTCCGACACTTGAGAGCGCAGTAAGCTCATCTTAGCACTTCTGCCTGCATCCAAGCAGCCGCAGTGATGCAGCCTGGGGGATGGGAACGCCTCTCCCAGGTGAATTAGCGTATGAGATGCAGTGAGCCGCCCCTTATACTCCATGCACCTCAGCGGTCTCCACTGTAAGGTGCAGCTCACGGTATTGTCCTGCCCACTTCCTGGGACTTTGAAGGTAGGGGGAAGGGCTGTCAGCACAAAGGACTTTGAGGTGAAGTATTTGCAAGTCCTAAATGAACATTTTGCACTATGTAGGATTAGTTTCAAGTTAAACTGATACTTATGATAGGAAAAACCATTTCTTAGAACCTTCTCTCTTTGGTTACCCATAATATTCCTTCATGGTGTCAACATTTGTGAATGGGTAAGTGAGTCAAATAGGAAATCCTAAATGGAGTTCCTCTTTCTGGAATATGTGCTCATTTTTTGCCTGGGCTCTTTCAGGAAAGTGTGCTGAGTACACTAATGTCCTGATTCCTGAGGCAGTTCAGTATGGAGGGGACATTTAGGGCAGGAATGGCCTGCCTGTCTTGTTCCATGTCCTTAAGTCTCATATTCCTCACCTGAGTGAATAAATGTCCCATCCTAGCCAAAAGAGGACATCACCTGTGCTGTGAGAGCAGAGGCAGGACCTCTCCAGGGCATCATGCAGGATATAATTCACTCTTAGAGTTCACATAGCTACATTGGACCCTACAAAGATTTCTGAGCCAGTGCCTCGTTTCTGGGGGCACTTGAGATTACTCAGGCTGGGTCATTGACCTGGAGCTCCTTGGAGCCTTGTTGGGACTGCAGATACGCCAAGAACTGAGAACTGAAGGTGCTCAGAAGCCTGGATTCATTTGTGGAGGACACACCCAGAGGCCCGGTGCATCAGCAGTCAGAGCTGTGAAGCTGGGTGGTTGTGCAAGATGCAAGATGAACAGCTGTTGGCAGAGCCAGCTTGTGTAGGGTCTGGGAGCCGTCTGAGGAATCTGGCCCCATCCACGGTGATGGGGGGAAAGTTCTGGGTTTTCTGAGATTCCCCATGCCCCTTCCATTGTATACATCACTCATCTGCAGTTCAGTATAGCCTGATGACTTACAGTAACTACTGAATCACAGCTTTCTTAGGTCATTGCTGAGAAGCTATTTCCTGTATTATCCAGGAAGTTATGTCTGAACCATATACTGGGAGGGCAACTTCCATCTTGAAGCAGGGCCTCCAGCCACTTCTATCTCTCAACCTCCGCTGCCCTGCCTTGATCCAGATTAGACACTTCATCTAATTTTTAGAACTTTATCCCTAGCTTATTTGTGGATGAGCCAAGAATGGCAGGTCCTTCATTTTCCTTCCTTGTCCTCTATTCTGAATGCCAGAGAAGGAAAGGCTCTAGCAACATTGAACCAAATCTGTCATCCCACTGATGTGCACACCCAGGCCTTCCTGCAGCAGATGGGACCTGCCCCAGATGCGGCAGATAATCGTTGTGGAACTGGTATTGTAGGTTAGAGGCCGGGCGGGCCTGCACACCACTGGCCTGGGTTTGTCCTATCTTTGAAACGTTGATGGTTTCGTTGTCAGGAGTGTGGCAGCATATTCTGCTACACCCTTCCGTGTGTGTGTGTGTAAACAAAAGTGCCCTATGTCACTCCAAAAGCCTCAAAACATCAGGTTCTGAATGAGACCTCAAAGGCCTTCTCAGCTGAGCTCCTAGTCAGTGCCAAATTGCTCAGATGACTGCTCAGATTCCAGTCGCACATACCTGAGGCACCTGTCTTTCAGGGACAGAGAACGTGTGTGTGAGCCCCACCAGGTGCTGTTCTTTGACTCTCGTAGCACTGTCTACACTGGCACTTGGGCAGGAGTTACAGCTGGGATCGTGGTTGTCCTGTGTGTGGCCCAGAATGGCTGGAGTAGAAGACGAGTCAGGAGTTAAAATGAGCCTGGGTTGTGCAGAACTCTGGAGGCCCTCTAAGCAGATTCTGCTTGATTCAGTCAGCAGAGGACAGAGCCTGGAGCTTGGAGAGGCAGTGGCATGAGCCCTTCAGGCCGAAGCATGAAGGATGCAGCAGAGATGTGGAGGCAGGGAGACCTGCTGAGGCCAGGCTGGGGGATTTGGAGGGTCTAAACTACTGTAGTCAGAGGAGGGGGGACGAAGTAGCAGGGACAGGCCCAAGAAGCAATGAAGATGACAACTAATGGGACTCAGCATCTTAGGAACCAAAATGCTCACAAGCTGACAGCAGGGCCTGGCCTTTACCCCACACAAGGTCCCCCTAACTCAAGACCATTTTCTATAGTAGATATAATAGGTCTCATGGTGGTAAGTGACAGTCTTAAGGCCTTGACTGTATTATTTATTCATTTATTCTTACCTTGCTTAGTACACATTTCAAGCAGCTTAAGCCAATGAATGAACTAAAACAGCAAGGCATCAGATTGTTTGAAAAAGAAGAATGAAGGAGAAAACAAGGATGGAGAAACTAAAACTTACATACTGTAATACTCTGGCTATAGGTGGGTCCCACATTCAGCTCTGAGATTCCTGGCAATTAAGTGGTAAGGGGAAATTTGATCAGTGTTCTGAAAAAGTAAAATTAAAAATCAGAGAAATAGATGACTTAGGAGGAGAAGCATAGCTACCATTGCTATTAAAACCACAAGTGTCTGCATGAAGGGACTCCAAGAAATATGTCTATCAATATCCTTGACAATATCCATAGAGAGCACGAGGCGATAAATCTTGTAATTTTCTTTCCTGTTTTTGGCAAAGGCTTTACTCCAAATGCAACTCAGTAAAAGCCATTCTGTAGGTGTGGAGTTGGAGATGGTTAGGAGTCTCCCAGCTCACTGCTAGTCTGACCTCACTGAAGAATACACTTTAGAATGTGGGCGAGTTACTCGATGTAAGTCTTTGTCTATGAACATGTGTATCTCAAGTGGGTGTAGGATAAGTTAAGTTATTCACCTCTGAGCAATAAGGAGTCAAAATTGTCCTGCAATGTGAGATCCTTGTGGCTATCCTTGGGTGCCCTGTTCAATAAATTGATCATTCTTTAAAAACATTTTGTTGAAAAGACACTAGTATCCGTTATGAAAGTGGAAACACTGAAACTTCCTCAGCTTCTGCCTAGGCCCCCTTCCCGTCTCCAGCTCATTTCCTTCTTGGTTTTTCCCTCTCTCACTGCTTTTACTGCATTTCTATCCTTGAAGTTCCTCAAAATTTGGACCTGCTCCTGCGTTGGGGCCTTTGGATGTGCTGTCTTTCCTTGGAATGCTGGCCTCACTATCACTGGCCTGGTCTATTCTTTGACCTACATTTTCAGGTTTTAAATGTCACTTTCCTGATATCTGACTACTTTTAAGCATACTAGGTTAGATTTCTTCTTTTCTGCATTCCCATGGAACCTTGTGCTTTAACTTTTAACCCTTAACATGGCAGTAATAATGTGGTAATCTGTCCAAACATTGACTTAACAATGTGTGTCACCCCGCCTCTGGGTTATCTTTTTTTTTTGGTACTGGGGATCGAACTCAAGACCTTGTGCTTGCAAGTCAAGTGGTGGAACCATTGAGCTAAATCCCTGGCCCCCATTTTTGTTTCTGTACAACAAAATCCTCATTGGTTCTGGGCATATAGTACATGCTCAGTAAATAGATTCTTTAATGGCTAAATGAGCAAAATAAACAAGGCTTAGGCATAGGAAAGGTTAGAGACTTTTATCAAAAAGTTGCTCTTTGGATTTATTTGTGCATGGAGAGGAGGAACAAGACAGAGGACCCTCTAGCAGCACCAAAATTGTCTGTGCAGGAAGAAAACCGATGAGCATCTTAGCTAAGATTTAAGCTGAATTAGGCACTTTTAGGCTCTTTTACTCTGAGCATTAATACTGCTCCTTGGTGTTGTCTATGTTTTTATTGGTATATTTTAGATATACATAATGATAACATTCATCGTAGTGTAACTATGCATGATATATCTTGCTTCTTTGCACTCTCTTCCCCTCCTTTCAACCCCTCTTCCCCTCCTTATTTACAAAAGCGTTGTTTCCATTTCTTCCTTCTATTCTATTTTTTTATCCCTTCTTCCTTTGCCCCTCCCACTTCCTTGTTCCCATTCTCATTTGAACATTTTCTTCCCATTTCCAATTTCTATTTATATACATTTTAGTCCTTATTTACACTTTCAGTTTCTCACACCAGAGAAATAATAGAGTATTTAAACATGTGT